TTATTTATAGGTAATAAGTTCTTTTAGTGGTATTTGTGTGTGTGTGTGTGTGTTTGTGTGTGTGTTGGTGCGTGGGTGAGTGTGTGTATGACCATGCAATGTTTCATTCCAAATCAGATTTGAAGATACTGCTAGCGGGAATATAAGGTGCGTAAAGGCTTAACGAATGGGGAATGAAAGGCGAATGTTGCAGCATTTGTTCGTGTCATCGCACTAAAGACAACTGAACAGTAAATTTGCACTGTTTTCTTTTCTTGTTTCCTAAGTATTCAACCCGCTTTAAGGGTAGGTGTGCAGCGAGAATTTTGTTTTTAACCCGACAAGGGTGCCGCGGTGTAAAAAGTCCTAGAACCCCTGATCAAATCAACAGGCTATATTTTCTTGTTTTAATAGGCGTTGTAATATTCAAGAGGCAATTGTCTGAAGTAATTTTATCTCGGAGCCCAGACTGTCCAAACGGGTATACTTCCTTGTACACAGACCTTTAATGAACAGTAGCGTCAGGTAGATAAATCTTTTCTATGTTTGTAGTCAATGCTATTTTCTGTTTCGTTACTAGGCAATTTACCATGCATTTAAAATATTCAGTGTGTGTGTGTCTTAGTCGTTGCCAACGCGTTTAGTAATGGAGTGCAGGGTTCGATCCCAGCTGCAGGCAATTTGACAACAGATAGTGGTACCGACAGTCGCCTGTTCAGTAGCGTAAATTTGTCTAGAAAAACTACAATAGTTGAGGGGGTAGGGGGAGGGGAGGAATACAAAACGGTTTTGCAACGTCCTGAAATGCATATGAAAATTATACTGAAACTGCTAACGTCTAGTAACCGTTACTACTCCTACAAAGACATTGTAAAGTGTTTTCTTAAATATCTGTTTTATTTTAATTCGTAAGCAGTTTTGTCATTTTTTTAAAGGCATTTTAAAATAATTTTTCTACGTCAATTTCAAAGTAGTTTTTTATTTTAATTTGTAGCCATTGTTTTTTTTTTTTTTTTTTTTCAAATGGCAGGCTTCTAGATATGCTTACTTCATTATTTTTTTAGTAGCTGATATTATTATTATCGTTATGAAATTCACTTGATTTTTCTGTATTTTTTGTAATCCATATTTATATTGCTATATATATACATATAAGGTATTCAGATAGCTTTTCTGCGCTAGATTTAAGTCAGTGCTAATATTGTTTTGAAAGATGTCCATATATGTGTTCTTTATCACTGTAATACATATTAGTGAAGATAAAAAGATTGCTACGTTTGTTTATTTTTATATTAATTTGTGGTCAGTTTTTACAGAAGAATCCTTATAATTCATTGGGCAGCGAAAGAGAGGAACCCAGATGTTTTGAAACAGGCCAGGGCTCGAAGACCACTTATCACAAACATCAGAAAGAGACATCTGACATTTTTTTGGTCATGGTATGAGAAGAAGGAAATCAGGAAAATATTGTGACCACTGGAAAGATCTTGTGGAAAAGGAGACAGAGGAAGACAAAGCGAGAAGATTCTTGACAGCCATTTGTCATGGCAGGGTGTCAGCACAAGAACAGAACATTATTTTGAAGATTTCAGATTGGGGAGAGGCATGGCAGTCCACGCCATTCGACAAGGCACTTGTTGATGATGAAGTGATAAGGTTTAAAAGAAAAACTGTCATCAGTTCGTCAAAGACCCATCTTTTTGACCAGTCGGCACTCGGTGGGTGATGTGGTCATTGTGCTGGTCACCTTTACTTCCCATACTATTACCTGGCTTCACATTTAGATAGGTCGACTGGGAGCTAAAATTATTCTTTTTTTTTAAAGGCGACTCGATGCAAATTCGAGCCCAAAACCTTCTTCTTCGTGTTGACCTTCTGTAAACTTCGGTGGACGTTTCTGGTTGTTCGTCCTCCTGTGCCCCTTTAATCTTTTTCCAGAACCTGACTGTTGCGTGCACATCTATTTTAAAAACCTTACTTACGTGTTTACAGACTTGTTTTCTTCCCTCTCAGGCAGATGCACTCCGACCTCGAATGAAGCTCTCAGCTAGTCGACTTTTACGACATGCTTGTTAGGAAGACATTAGGTCTGAGCTTGTATTTAAAAAAAACTCTCCACAATGGGTCCCTGGAACCCCTGAATAGTGATGAAGAAAATGATGCTGATGATAACGATTACAGCAATTATTGCATCTTGGTATGAAGATTCACTAAGCACTGACTGAATTAGGGCCTGAAATTATATGTTATCATCATATATAGTTTTAACCGAACTGTTGTTACCCTCAGGCTTTCGTATTCAATATGGCTCCGCACATGGCTACGCGTCGTCCGGTGCTATTATTGAGGTATATCCTGTTGATATGTAAGTATGCAGCTTAACATGTTTCATAACATATAAATTTTACATACGTCTACCCACACCTCCCCCTCCCAACCCTCCCTCCCAATCTAATTTGTGACGTGTACAGTATACACACAGAGAACCATTGCATATTATCTGCACTTGCACTTGGGTCATGTATTTGAACATCCCTGGAGTTAGAGATGTTTTCAAAATTTTCATGGAGTTCTCAAGCCAAAGAGGGTTCCGGAAATGTTATGGGAAGTAGAGGCAGCTAACATGAAATCCACAACATCACCAATTCAACGATAACTGGTCAACACATATGATACCAGTATTATGTACCCATTAAGCCGCATAGGGTAAAAGTGGCAATTTGGAGCAGTAGGACAGTTCCTAGACGTTCGTCTGCTTCCACGGAGATCTTGGGTTCGAATCCTAATGGAGTCGGATTTTTAACGCCTTGGCTGCTATGTGTACTCAGCCTAAAACGGATACAAAGAAATACAGTGGGACGTAAAGGCAACCGACATGGGGGGGGGGGTCCTAGTTGTTCGCCCACTTCTACTTATTCGTCTTGTTCCCGGTTATGAGTTTTGAGTGCCCACCAGTCTTACAGATCTGCTTATCTGCTTATTACTGTGCAAAAAACTTGGGCCAGAAACATGGACAAGCAAGCCAAAGAAGGCAAATGTAGTCCTAAAGGTACCAGGGATCACTTCAAAAGATGCCCAGACGGAGACACAATAGAGAAACCTGGCTCTTGCTATGCTTGATAAGAAGTATCCAAACACCATTTGGACTCAGGTTTTCACCGACGGCTCTGCTATAGATGCAGTCAGAAAGGGTGTTTGTGGAATATACATTAAACCCCCTAGCAGTAGAGCAGAGACTCTCTCTCTACCAGCAGGTGACATCTGCACTAACTTCAGAGCTGAGGCAACTGCCCTCCTTTCTGCAGTCCAACATCTCATCACTCAAGAACACAGAGGGCACAAAATTGTTATACTTAGTGACTCATTGTCTGTTCTCCAAGCACTATCAAGCAAAAAACAAGACAAACTAATTGCAGATCTAAGGACCAACATTGGCTTACTCTCCAAGGAAGCAGAACTGGTCTTGCAGGGGATACCAGCCCACTGTGGTATTCAAGAAAATTAGAGAGCAGATGAGTTGGCAAAAGCTGGGAGTAATCTTCCACAACCTCATCCACCACATAGCTACAAGGAAACCACAATAGCGCTAAAGCAGTCTTTCAAGCGGGAGTGGAGAAGGCAAAATGAAGATTACAGACCAGAGAGTGACAGCATAAACAAACTCAACAAGAAAGAACAAACATCAATTTTTAGACTTCGGACTGGTCACTGTGGTCTTCGAGCACACCTGTACAGGATAGGCATAAAAGAATCTGCTGCCTGTGATTGTGGAGCAGAAAAACAGACCCCTGGGCACATACTACAGTACTGCCCTTACCTCTCCCAGCAAAGACTGTGGATCGATCAGGCCCAGGGGATCCACATTGCGAGAGAAGCTATGGGGGACCGGTGGCGATCTTAAACCAACAATCCTAATTGTGACCCAGACGGGACTCTATGTTTAGCATGGCTGATGTCGAACGCAGAAGAAGAAAAAGAAGAATTTGTGCACAGACGATTCCTCTTTTCTCATATGCGCATAAATGTAGACAGATCTTGACTAGCATGAGACCTAGTCCACTGCATTACTACTTGTGGTTCAGCATTTCTGCATCCCAGCTTCTAATATAAACATTCTTGCAGAAAGTTAGAAACTTGTGTATTACCCTGCAGGGAAGCAAGTTTTGAGTGCATCTATCTTCCCTATAGCAGCATAAATTTATGTTAGTCGTAAACTATCTCGTAGTTATTACGAAGACAGTAGGGGTTTTTAATCTGATATTATAGAGAACAATTATCATAAATTTTTAATGTTGAATTAAGAATCGACATCACAGCACTCGGGACACCCCCCATAAGCGCTCCGTCTCCATCTTCAGCAGCAAGCAAAGAGTTCAAATTAAGATAGTACCAGTCAATTATCAGAAAAACGTGACAAAAAAGGAAGAAATACTAACATCCTAAAAGATATGGAAATCAAGGAAGATAGCTAGTAAGCAACATCAATTCTCGGACACTGACATATGCTAGTAATTTCAATCATCACGGCGGATTGAAAAGAACAGTAGCAGATGACATGCTGCCAGGAAAGGGGAACATGTGCTGACCAGCACAAGTATGGATACAACATATACAGGGTGCTTCGGGTGCCAGATTGGAGATCTGGCGAGAGAACTCGTTTTTTCTTTTTTTTTAGGCAGATTGTAGTGAGAGCAAAGTTCTAAAAAAAAAGTACTTGCTACATGTTGATTATTGGCGGTGTCCATGGCTTAGGCGTTGCGAGTCCGACTCGTAAGTCCAACATACCGCGATCGAAACCCACTGCCGGCTGCGTGGATTTCTATCATGGTTTGGGGCGTCGTAGGTGGACCCAGACTAAAATGAGTACCAGGATGTATATCTTAGGGAAGTAAAAACGGCCAGTGTAATGCTGAACACATTCCCACCTAGTGCCGATTGGTCTGAAAACATATGAGGTCCTCGTCCCATATACCCGATGCGCCTAGAGGCGTGAAAGGGGATCTTTACTTACTTTTTACAAGGTTGATTATTATCCTGTGCGTATTTTTTTTTTTCCAGTGTGTCTCCAACAAGTGACAGGACAACTAACGTGGCTTAATACAAGTGTACAAAATAGTGTGTTGATCAATCTTTATGAGGATACTCCTGTGGGAAGTGTAATTCATTCAAATGGACTTACGGGTGTAGACATCCGTGAGGTTATTTCAGACAACACCAACTGCTATGTGAATGTCACAAACAAAGAACCTCAACGTATTCTTTTCAACGTAGTACTGAACACTGCTTTAGATTTTGACTATGTAAGTTTCCTAGCATAAAAATATTGTCTATTCTATTTTTTAACTGTTAACATGCAGACAAATATAATGTTTTCCTAATTTAAGGTAATGTTGGCAGCCACAGTTGAACACTGGTTATACGCTTGCCTACTGGTGCCCAATTTGTGACCTTGTGAACATAAAATACATCTTTCGTTTATTTGTTCGTTAATGCGTTTGTTCGTTCTTCTTCTTTCTATTTCTTCTTCCCATCTTTGTTTTTTCCCTCTTAATTCTTGTTTATGACTACCCAATCACTTGAGTTTTTTTTTTTTCATGAGCGAGAGCTAGACAGACATAGACAGGCAGACATAGACAGACAGACTTAGACATAGACAGACAGACAGACATGGCGGTGGTGCTAGGAAGAAACAAAAATTCTTTACAACTTTTCAACTGTTATGAAATAACAAATTAGTGGAGCCTTTCTAAGAATAAGAAACCAAGCAGAAACGTGTTTTTAAACGTATGGTAACTAATATGTATTCAAAAACTGTCTTTATTTCCGGCACTTACTAAATTTTTAGAGCAGAGTAAGTAAAACAAAAAGTAGTCTCTTGTTTCAGAGAAGAAACGTCACACTAACCTTATGTGTGACGTGTTGAATATTGGTTGCCTTTACGTCTGATGGTATTTCAATGTATCCATTTTAGACTAGGTAAACATAGAAGCCAGGTTTTTAACAATCTGACATGTTCCCGAAGGTAACCTATACCTATACCTATACCTAGACCTATATTTTCTTATAGACCAATCGGCACAAGATGGGTGATGTGCTCAGTATCACGCCGGTCGCCTTCACTTTCCCGGGACTGCACCTGGCACCCACTCAAGGTTGGGTCGACCTGGGAGCGAACCCACGCCCTTCCTAGCATAAAAATATTGTCTATTCTATTTTTTAACTGTTAACATGCAGACAAATATAATGTTTTCCTAATTTAAGGTAATGTTGGCAGCCACAGTAGAACACTGGTTATACGCTTGCCTACTGGTTCAATATTTCTTTCGAATTCGTATCAGTGTGGAAATTTCACAGGGGACAGCATGCCCAATTTGTGACCTTGTGAACATAAAATGCATCTTTCGTTTATTTGTTCGTTCATGCGTTTGTTCGTTCTTCTTCTTTCTATTTCTTCTTCTCATCTTTGTTTTTTCCCTCTTAATTCGACATTATTATCCAGTGCCGAGTGGTCTATAAAAACATGGGTATATACCCGATGCGCCTAAGGCGTGAAAAGGGATCTTTTTTTTTTTTTTTTACATAGCGACGCGAACGATACAAATATATTAAAATTATTGTATTTTATTTATTTGTTAAATTTCTTTTTTTTTTTTTTTTTTTTAAGGCGAGGGTGGGGGAGATTTTAAATTGCAATGATGTTCATATTTTATGACATTCTGATATGCATACATTTTGAATCTTCACTAGTGATTTACTTTTCTTGTACTGTGTTCAGATTCTTATTGAAGAAGGCTAGGGAGCAAAAAAAAATTTTTTTTTTTTTTTTTTTCAAATATGCAGCTAGCATATTCTTTTACAACACTGGCGATTACAACTCAATAACCTTTGAGAAGAGGGAGATGGAATTAAGACCTGAAATTTGTTTTTCTGTCGGAGGCAATAATGCAAATAAAAACTGCATTTTTAGAGTTGACCAACCTGTGATGCTAAATTTTCAGGTTCAAGATCTCACTGTTTTACCCTGCCCTAAAAATGTGGTAAGCGTCGGCCATAAAGACCGTTCTTTTTTTAATTCATAATTGCCACCATACATCTACAAAAGTGTTAGCTGATAAACACATTTTTCTACAAAAGTTAAAAGAGACTGTGGAATTGAAGATTGGTATGAGTTTTATTGTTTTTATCACAGGGACAGCATCAGTTGATGTGTTTGTTAACAGGCTCCGCTAACGTAAGTAAACATGTAACCTCTTGTTTGTGAATATCTTTGTTAGTGTGGTACAGGAGTCCTTAGGGACATAGGGGGAATATAGATAGAATGCAACTTAACAAGGATAGAGTGAAAGGTGACTTATGTAAATGTTAAATAGGACAGTAAACAATAACAAGGCGGGGGGGGGGGGCGGGGAGGGGGTTGCGTGGTCTCGAGGCATGGTGTCCGCCTCGAGTGCTAGAGATTCTGGGCTCAATTCCCGGTAAGGGCTATGAATTTGTTCAGTGGACTTGGACTTCTAGTAATTCCCCCTGATCTATGTGTACTGAGAATGGACGCCCGTGTGCATTGTTGAGCACGTAAAATATCCCTTGACTGTTGAAAATCGAAAAAAGTAGCATAACGGCGCTGCCCCGGAAAATTTTGAAGTTGAAAAATCTACCTAAAGTATTGCATGATCCTCGCCGGTGCTACAGAGCCTGTAGCTTCAGATTTGAGTTAGAAGAAGAAGGAGCACTTATGGGTTACTACCCGTGTGTCATGATGTTGATCCGTTGTTCAAACATCAAACCTCAGTAAACAATAACATCGTGCGTTCTTCATATGTGGGTTCAAGGGTCACACTGGGAAGGGAGATAGGGGGAGTATACATATAATGCTACTCAACTCAACAAGTATAGAGTGAAAGGTGACTTATTCTTTTTCTTCTTCTTCAGCATTCCGATCCCTTGAGGTTCATTGCTGCAGATATTACCCACCTCCATTCATCTCTCTGGTTAGCCTTCTCTTTTCAGTTAACACCAAGTGTTTGCAGGTCTGTCTAGATATTATCTCTCCATCGTCTTCTTGGTTTCCTTCGTGGTCTACGACCATTCATCTCCCTAGTGTATACAGTTTTTACTTCTCTGTCATCTGACATTCTTTCAATATGTCCCAACCATTTCAGTCTATTAGCTCTCATTATGTCAGTGATCAGTGGTGATTTAAACAGGTTATGAATTTCGTTGTTGTTGCTTCTCACTCTCCATTCACCGCTGTTTGCATCTTTGATGGGTCCAAAGATTTATCGTAAGACTGTTTTTGAAAACCTGTAATAAGGCTTCAGCTCTCCAAGTTTCAGAGCCATATAATAAGACTGGTCTTATCAACGTTTTATATATTTTAATCTTGGTGTTGCGAGACAGTCACTTTGACTTCAGCAGATGTTAAAGGGCACAGTATACTTCGTTTCCAGATTGTATTCTGGATTGCATTTCTTCTTTCAGCTGTTGAAGTTTGCACCCAAGTACTTGGACGTTTCCGTTCGTTTGATTTTCATATTATCGACTTGTATGTGGCCGGAGTTTATATCCTTTCCCTGTCTAGTTATTATCATGTATTCTGTCTTATCTTGATTGATAACTAGTCCCATTTTTTGAGCTGATTCTTTTAAAACATTCAGTGTTTTAACAGTCTCTAGTTCATTTTCTCCAACGATATAAATGTCATTTGTGTATCCAAGTATTCTTGTATTTTCTCCTATAGTGCACTCTTGTTTCAATTTCCTGATAATTTTCTCCAGGGCCAAGAAAAAAAGACTTATGTAAAGGTTAAATAGATTCCGGTGTGTCTGACAGATTTCTCATAAATCTGATATCAGATGGCAAAGGGCAGACGACTTGGTGCAAACTGGTTGAGGGTTTATGTTTCAATCAAGTGTTAATAGTAGTAGCAGCATTTGCTGCAGTAGTTACAGTTTTTATTGTTGTAATTGTATTAGAAATGTTGGTTATGGTAATAGTAGTAGTAGTTTGGTGGTGTCAGTGGTAGTGACAACAGTAGTAGCAGTAGTACTGGTGACAGTAGTAGTAGTAGTAGTAGTAGTAGTAGTGGCAGCCATACTAGAAGTAGTAGCATTAGTAGTGTTAGTAGCAGCAGCAGCAGCAGCAGTAGTAGTAGTAGTAGTAGTAGTAGTAGTAGTAGTAGTAGTAGTAGTAGTAGTAGTAGTAGTAGTAGTAGTAGTAGTAGTAGTAGTAGTAGTAGTAATAGTGGCAGCCATACTAGTAGTAGTAGCATTAGTAGTGTTAGTAGTAGTAGTAGTAGTAGTAGTAGTAGTAGTAGTAGTAGTAGTAGTAGTAGTAGTAGTAGTAGTAGTAGTAGTAGTAGTAGTAGTAGTAGTAGTAGTAGTAGTAGTAGTAGAGGCTATATTAGAAGCTGCAGCAGAAGAAGAAAAGACAAACACGAAGAAGAAGAAGAAGAAGAAGAAGAAGAAGAAGAAGAAGAAGAAGAAGAAGAAGAAGAAGAAGAAGAAGAAGAAGAAGAAGAAGAAGAAGAAGAAGAAGAAGAAGAAGAAGAAGTGTAGCAGCGAGCAGTTTTAAAGGTATAGTCCTTTGTAACCGCATTGTTGAAACTATGGTAGATAGAACAATAAAAATGTTAACACGACAAATGTTTACAATCCTAAGTAATAACAGTCCCAGTGGCTTTCTCATCAGCCTATAACAACATTAATTTGGTTAGAAAATAATATTTAATACATTCTGATAATGTGGTAATTTGGTTTTGTTTCTTTCAGAACGGCCAGACCAATAATTTGAGAATAAACATACTTGTAGTTGACGTTAACGACTTAGAGCCTGAACTGAAAAATCAGCCGTACTCGTTGTCAGTGCCTGAGGTAAGCACTATTGCTGTTCTCTCGATGCCTCCATTTTTTTTTTTTTACACTTCCATCCAGTACATATCACAATACCTTTCACTGTTCAAATCACAGGCGCGCTCGCCCACTTGCACCATACGCTCCCGCCCATACTGGAGATAGAAGACTAGACAATGAGAATGTAAACAGTTACATTAAAGTTTATATTCAGCTGTTGTTACAAAAGCCTAAAAACCAGACTGGGACTATATAAACAGAAGTTACAACCCTCTTACCTATTTAGTAGTAAAATACCTATTTTTATGCAAGGAGCATATAGAGCTAGTCCTATATTGGTTATACAATCATCGCACAAGACCCTTCTGGGTGGCGTAGTCCCTCAGGCATGGTGCATCACCTGCCAGGCAGCAGAGGTTGCACAAGCAGAGAAACGGGGGCAGACTAGAAAGAATCGTACTGCTAATCCTACATCTACTGCGGCTTCCATCTGTTGTCCGCACTGCTCAAGAACTTTCCTGGCTCATATTGGACTAATGAGCCACATTCGTACGCATAATCATTATGATGTTAATACTCGCGACCTGACATAGCTCTCCACTCTGCGGAGAAACGTCAGCTCATCCTGATCGAGCTGACAGTGTCGTATGTCGCGAATGGACGAAAGCCATATGTATAAGCTCGAGAAATACAGTGAATTAGCAGCCGGTCCGAGGAGAGACGAAGCGTACACAGTACGAATCTTCGCCGTCAAAGTAGGCGCAAAAGGTCTCGTTTCCACTTCACTTTTTAATGTGATTAAACATACAGGCTTACGAGATAATGAAGGCAAACGGACATTCAAACAGCTAGCCGAGGTTGTTGAGAGGGCCTCGAGCTGGCTTTGGACACAGCGGAACAACATGGGGGACGGGCCTCGGTGAGCTGGTCTGGGTGTCTAGTCGAAGAGAATTTTTCATTCCTTAAAGTCCATCGTGTCCGAATTGTCTGCCAGTGTCCTTCTGCCACCTGCTAACAAAGTCCAACATGTTTCCGGTAAACCAACCGTAAGCTTGCCACTCGGTCGTTCAGGTATGCAGACTGCTCTAATTATGCTATCGCAACGACTTCTTATCTCACAGTACCTTTTGCAAATCACCAATTCGTCTTGTCCCTGTCCGAATAACATCCGGTAATACGTGCAGCAAGGGAAACCAACCCTGAGCTTCAGGAATTCAGGTGGGCCCACTCTCTGAAAATGTCCAGGAGCTCGTGGGCCGAAACATTCGAGAGGTTACTTCTACTGACGTTTGGTAGACCCCTGCTGTACATGCTCCCCTGTGGAGTTTATTCTTATTTTGGATGAAAGTGGTCTTCATCACTCGTGATGGACGAATAACATACAATCATCGGCACTCAATAATTATTTATTTTTCTTTAGGGTTGGCTTCTTATATGACAGTTTGCATCTTGTATTGTGATTTACAGCTAGGCTGCGATATCTGCGTTTTCGGCCTAACGCATCCGATTTTATTACCCTCTAATTAGGGGTTAGAACCAGCTGCATTTACATATTGTGACTATAATCGACTTACAAACTACCCTGAGGAAAATTGAAGACAGGTATGCTCCGTGAAGAGTGGCAAGCATACCTTCAGAGATCTTGTGTAGTGTGTTTTAGATATTTCCATCAGAGCATGCGGGTGTGTTGGGAAAAAGGTGAACATATTGGTATGTCCTGCATCACTGGGTGGTAAATTATTGCATGACAAGGTATATGTGGTCAAGGCCCTTTTGGGAGTAAGCGAACAATGCAGAGGCACGCAGGGGAAAGGCATGTATGATATGTAAACTGCCTCTGGCACGGTTGGAATCGGAACTCTTCGCCAGCTGCTGAAGATGAGGATCACATATAGGAACGCTTCGAGTGCTGTGATGTCCTTTCTAGCTCAACTCTTGGCTCAATCAAATATGTAAACACTTTCAAATACAAATTCGTAGGATATAAATAATTAAAGTGTCGACTGTGTGGGTCTGAATGAGTTAATGAGTTAAAATAATGTAATTGCAGCACATAAAGTATTTAAATACCAGTTGTGACGAAATCTCCAACACTGCTGGTCCCTCGTAGAGATGAGAAGGAGACCAGACTTACTCACCGAACCCCTGGCTATAAAAACCTACATGAAAACATCGTCAGAATAGACTAGCAGAGAATCACCGAAAAGACACTACAATTGGAAACAAAGGGAATGAGAGAGCGAGGACGTCCAGAAGACCGCCTTAAACAAACGTTGATGAGAAGTTTGAAGTTTTGAAGTTTGAACAACTGATCAACGTCACGGTACACGGGTGTTAACCCATAAGTACTCCGTTCTACTTCTAACTCAAGTGTGAGTCCAAAGAAGCTCAGCGCAGTTCGCGGGCTCCGTAGCACCGGCGAGGATCTTGAAATATTTGGAGTAGATTTTGTACTCCAAATTTTGCCCGGGCAGCGCCGTTAGGCTACTCTTTTCGATTTAGAACTGGCAACGGATTTTTTAAGCGCGACGCAATACACACGGACATCCGATCTTACTACTCAGAGACCAGGGGAAATTACTAGAAGTCCACATGAACAGAAAAAATTCCCACCCTTGACAGAGGTCAGAACCCGGGACCTCTAGCACTCGAGGCGGACACCATACCTCGAGACCACCTTCCCCTTCTTACGTTGATGAGAGAACTGCAGAGCTGTATCCTATCTACTCTCCATGTGGATTCCAGTGTTCCATTGGGGGGGGGGGGGGGGGGGGAGATTGACCTACTGCCCCAGTAACAAGCATGTTGTTATAGGCCGCTAAATATGGACATTCCCTTCGAAGTCGGGGTGGAGCTGCTTGGGCGGCGAGAAACTGTCTGCACATAAGTATGCCCGATCAGTGAAACGGATGTGCACACACAATTAAAGTGCATGCACTAGCCTAAAGTCTAAAAGTCGAAGTATATAACTAGAACTTTACGCCTTAGCTTACAGCCGGTGAACCCTTAGAAAAAGAAGATGCCATCTATAATATGGACTGGTTTGCACAGGATACAAGGGAATGAAGGAAAGACTGCAAGCAGCGTGCGACTTAAACAGCACAACAGGACAATAATCATGATTGTAATAGTGAAGTTAGTAAAGGACCCTTTCCACGCCTTTGTATAGACCAATCGGCATTTGGTCAGTGACGTGATGTGGTCAGTATCACGCCAGACGCCTTTACTTCACAGGACTCCACCTGGTACCCATTCAAGGATGGGTCGACTTGGAAGCCATGATTATTTAAAACAAAAGTCGACCCGAACCCACGATCTTCCGATCCGCAGGCGAGCGTGAACCACTATATCATCGTGGCTTCCTGTGGTGATTATGAGGAGACATACAAGGTTAAAGTACAGAAGATTAGGTCCAGTACAGTTTAGGAATACATAAACAAATATTTAGTTCCTAAACATATGGTCAGTTGACTAAAACTGAGAGATTTAATTTATAGCGCAGTTGATCGTTTGTTAAATAATGATTTACATCGGCAATATTTTCCCCAGAACACAAGACAAAATGCCACTGTGTATACCAGAATTTATGCAGAGGATCGAGACCAGGATGATCACGTTAATTACACTCTTTCAGTGAGTATGCATACTTGTGTCTGACCGCTTGTGATTGCATGTGACTGTATGCATTCACTCATGCATTCATTCATGCATTCATTCATTCATTCATTTATTCATTCATTCATTCATTCATTCATTCAATTTTTGTGCTCTGTTGTGGAACAACATTTATAATTAGAGTCATTGAAAAACAAAGACTGAAATTGTTGGTCCATTTAATGAGAATGAATCAAGTGATGCTAGAAACGAGAGCGTGCATCCTGAAAGTAGAAACACAAAGAAGTAAGCAGGGCCGTCTTAACGGATGTACCCACTGGCCCTTTGCCCGGGGTGGGGGTGGGGTGGGGTCACACGAGCATAGGCGTCCCATGCTGATCTGTGAATCTCAAGTGATGTGCCATATAAGAAGTTGGTTTTAATTTCATTCGCCCGTGTGTCACCCTGGCCCTTACGAGAAGCAAAGAATGGTGACACTGCACCCTTGCGGTTGGCTACCTCATCCTGTAAAAATCATAGCCACAAAAACCAACCAACTATGGATAAGTCAAAAAGAGAAGCAAGTAAAGTCCAGCCAACTAAGATGAGAGGAGGCTCTTCAGAAAGAAGAAGTACCGTTGATGTACCTCCTCTCAGCTAGGAAAACCTCCAGAATGCCCCAAAAAAGACATGGAGAAGAGAGCTGGAGAATGTGGTTAGAAAGATGGGAAGGACATGGGGAGAGCTCCATGCAATGGCGAAGGATAGAACAGCTTGGCGTGAGTTGGTTGAGGCCTATGCTCCATTGGGGGATAGAAAGGCAGAAGAAGAAGTCTTTCATTCTCTGCTATCTAATCTGTGCTTATGTGCCACTAGGCATAAAGAGAATTGGTGATGAAGTGGCTGTGGTAGGGACCCCAGCACATTGGGAGGGGGGGGGCGTGGGAGAGTAATGCCGTTAAGACGGCGTTGGATGCAGAGGACGACTAAGAAGGATGTTGATTAAAGAAGTAAAAGATACCTTGACAGTCTGCAACATCACAGCATATCAGGCAACTGGGCGTGCTATAGCTCGACAACTGATCATGTGTTAACCTGCAACGTATAGCGGTAAAAAAGAAAGAAATCGGAAAAAAGAAAGAAAAGTTTTTTAGAGGAGGCATCTTCGCCCCTTTTCAACATTATTGAATGGGGTGGTTAAGTGGGGGGGGGGGGGCAGGGGGGGGGGGCTAAGACTCGTTCCCCTTTCTTCTTTCCAATGTTTTCTTCTTGGCAAGGCGGCTGTCACCGCCGAAATATATAGACTCATTGACATATGTATACACTGACAAGCACGCAATTATATTTCATAAGTATTCTTCTTCTTCGCGTTCACCAGCTGTACACTCTGGCGGGAAGTTCTGGTTGCTCCTCCACTACTGAACTGCAGTCCTGCTCCAGAACCTGAGTGTTGCGTGTGCATCAGTTTTACAGATCTCATTCTCTTGAATACAAACTGTTGGTTCCTTGCCTCTCCGGCAGATGCACTCCGACTTCAAAGGAAGCTCCCCAATTAGTCGACTCTTACGACATGCTTTTGCGGAGGCAGTGGGTCTGTTCTTGTTTTCCCCACAATGGGGCCCCGGAACCCACACAGGGGTCTCGTAAGTATTGAATGGGATACCTTTCATTATATTTTACTGCTGCTACTAGTTTAAGAGAGAGTCGCCGTGGGGTGGGCGGCTAGACGGATCGGAAGGTCGTGGGTTCGCGTTCTTAGGGAGCCGGGTTTTTTTTTTTTTTTTTCCAAAATGATCTTGACTCCCAGGTTGACCCAGCCTTGAGTGGGTATCAGGTGCAGTCCTGGGAAGTAAATGCGTCCGGCGTGATGCTGACCACATCACCCACGAAGTGCTAATTGGTCTATTAAAAAAAGTATAGGTCTACTATATTCCCAATAAGCCTAAATGCGTGGAAAAGGGATCTTTACTTTACCTGTTTGAGAACCTTTTTTTCCCCAGACTACAGGCGAGGACTTATTTAAAATTACGGACAGTGGTAGCCTCATTCTGACGGGGACTTTAGATTTTGAGACTGTCAGATTTTATCACTACATTGTAACGGTTACGGTAAGAATAATTTTCTAGCTAATGTTTATTCTGTAAGAATAAGAGTTTAAAAGTCTCGACACAATAGATTGCAAAATATATTGCTTATCGTGTGTTTCAATTAAATATGCCAAGCAATAAACTGTGCGATCTATTGTGTATGTTTATTAATGATAAATGCATGCAAGGCTGACAGATAACATTATATCAGACTTTTGGGACGGCAATCATTTGTCTTCGTCATTTTGTGTGTGTGCGTATTTGTGTGTGTGTATGTGTGAGTGTGTGTGTGTGTGCGTGCGTGCGTGTGTGTGTGTGTGTGTGTGTGTGTGTGTGTGTGTGTGTGTGTGTGTGTGTGTGTAAGGTTAAACATTCAGGAATTTTTGAATTTTTTTTTTTTTTTTTTCATCCTCTCACGCTTCAACATAAATCTGATAAAAACAACCAAACACACTCGATCAAACATGAAAGATAAATATATGTACATTTGCCTTTTAATTCTTTTGGTTTTAATTTCATAATTAGAAAAAGGAATAATAATCAAAATCAATACCAAATTGTCTGTACATTGATAGTAATTTGTTAATTAAAAACCTGTGTATGTGTTGTTGTTTTGTTGTTGTTTTTTTACATTTACAAATACCATATTTTTGGGTGATGTGTTTATTTGTGTCTATACTAAAAAGGCCACCTTGAGACACACTGGGCCTATGATTTTTTTTATTATTATTATATTTTTTTATATTTCCTTCAGACCTCAGTATCTATATATCCATATGATTATCTGGGCCTCTGATTCTAAATGCCCTGGGACTGAAAGAATTAACAGCATGTTGTTGTACTGAGAAAGTCACTTGGTGATGAAATGATAAATGACAAGGTGGATGTAGTCAATGACATTTAAAGCAAGGGCACCAGAAGCTCTGGCTGACATGAACACCCAGGGGTAAGAGGCAAGCTGGATAGACAACCAGACTGCTGCCATCAGAAATAGAACTCTGCACTGGCTTCTTAAAATGGGGATGAGTGCTTCAGGGAATGTTGAAGTGCTATGATGCATCTCAACGGGAATGTTGAAGTGCTATGGTGCATCTCAACGGGAATGTTGAAGTGCTATGATGCATCTCAACAAGACAAGATTTCTCTTCTACTTTTTCTTAGTGTTCACGGGTTGTAAACTCCGACAGAAAGTTCTGCTTGCCTGTCCACTTCTAGACTTCATCTTGTTCCAGAACTCGAATTTTACATGCACATCTGCTTAAAAAATCTGGCTAGTTTGTATGCAGATCTGGCTTGTTTGTGTGCAGATCTGGCTTGTTTGTATGCAGATCTGGCTTGTTTGTATGCAGGTCTGGCTTGTTTGTGTGCAGACTTTTGGTCCCTCACTGCTCAGGCAGATAATGCTATGACTTTGACGAAAAAAATTACTAATTAGTCGCCTTTTAAATTATGCTTGTTAGGGAGGCAGTGAATCTATTTCTTCCCCCCCCCCCCCCCCCCCCCCCCCCCCCCCCCCCCCCCCCCCCCCCCCCCCCCCCCCCCCCCCCCCCCCCCCCCCCCCCCCCCCCCCCCCCAAAAAAAAAAGGGTCCCTGAACCCAAGTGTGGAAACAGAATAAGTGACAGTCTTTAAGCTCAGAACAGTGTGCACAAAAATTAATAACTGCGGGTACACAAAACTAAAGAATGAATCCCAAGTAGTGTCTACAAGTTGGCAAGCACCATAACTGCAGAGCATATACTACAACAAAGGGTCAAATTTAGCTCAGTAATATATATCTTATGGCACCATAAAATAATCCTACATGTCAAAACTCCATAGAAGCCCAGAAGAATTGCAGAAGACAGAGCTATTTATGCAGGAAACAAAATGCCATGTGCAGGCTGAATCCAAGTTATTGACAAGATGATATATGGGAACAACTACTGTGTCTCCTGATTGTTTCAAACCCTGAAAAAAACTTGGCTGCCAGATCAGCCCAGCCCAGAGTGGTTACCAGGTAAAGTTCTGGGAAGTAAAGGTGGCTGGCATGATGAGTTCTGGCTGCTCTATAAAATATAGGTCTAACCCTCTATGCCCATTATGCCAGAATGTGTGGAAAAGGGTTCTTGTACTTTCAAACCCTATTCAGTGATGATATTTTCTCATTTAATACCTTTTAGATTAACATAGTTTTGTCATCTTATTCCATCTTGTCATCTTATTCCATCTTGTCATCTTATTCCACTAGATAACACCCCCCCCCCTTTTTTTTTTGTTCAGCACCCCCCCCCCCCTCCCTCCGTTAATATATGTACAGCTGTATTATTACTTTGTTGCAATTATAACAATAATTACTTATGACAGGACAAAGTTGGACACAATGTGAGTGCTGATGTTTTCATCACAGTCGAAGATGTACAGGATACTCCTCCTGACTTTACTGGAGAACCCTTTCAAAAACAAATATCTGAAGATGAGAAGCCTGTAAGTTGAAATTGCTAATATTTTTATGTTATTTTAGCTCTGTGAAGTTTTAGGTCTGATTTATATAATTATGATTATGCTTATAACTTGTAATAAAATTATTATACCTATAAATTTTTTTTAAATATGAAAATGAACAGCCTGTAAATTTGCTTTTATTTTGATACTGTCTTAGCTCTGTGAAATTTTAGGCCTGACCTATAAATGTATACTTATAATTTATAAAAACAAATATCTGAAGATGAAAAGCATCTAACTTTACTTTGCAAATATTAATATATGTATACATATAATTATACTTGTAATTTATAATAAATTAGAATTTATAAAAACTATTATCTGTTGATTAAAAGCCTCTAAGTTTACTTTGCTATATTTTGAAAGATTAAAGCGACTTCCGTTGTTTTGCATATATTTTGACAGATTAAAGCTCCCCACTTTGTTTTGCATACATTTTGAAAAAGATTAAACCTCCTTCCATTGTTTTGCACATATTTTGAAAGATTAGAGGTCCTTCCTTTGTTTTGCACATATTTTGAAAGATTTAACTTCCTTCCATTGTTTTGCACATATTTTGAAAGATTAAACTTCCTTCCATTGTTTTGCACATATTTTGAAAGATTAGAGGTCCTTTCATTGTTTTGCATATATTTTGAAAGATTAGAGGTATTTTCATTGTTTTGCATATATTTTGAAAGATTAAACCTCCTTCCATTGTTTTGCATATATTTTGAAAGATTAAGACACTGTAACCATGACACTCAAATCCCCTGAGTGGTCTAAAATGTTGATGACACCTGTGTTGCTTTTACTATTAATTTTTTGCATAACAGTTAACAGCTGTCTACATTTATCTGTTTTTTGGTTTTGTTTTTTTCTCTTCTTTTTTAAAATGTTAGGCTAATTTCTGTTTTTCACCATATCTGTTGATATTTTTCATACATGTCACATCTTTTGCTTATGATTTTACAAAGGGATTTTGTAAAACATGTAGCTCTGGATATCTCTGTGTTTTGTTTTCTTCTATGTACCTGAAATTCTTAATGTTGTCCTGAAAAAAAAAATACAACAAAATTCATTATTTAACTAAATTTTTGTTTGAAGAAAACAGTTATTGCTGTAATTAAAACAGATTAAAGTCAGTTAGTCTATAAAGCAAGCTTCACAATTAATTAAGCAGTATTATAATTAGTGTCTGTATGTTTTCTTTGGCTTAAAATGTAAAACAACTAAAATAGGTAGCGCAGAGCACAATGAAAAATATGAATATTTGTAAATGAAATTTAATTAGTCTAGTATTTCTTCTTTCTTTTAATTTTGTCCTGATATTGTTAAAGATGATAAGAATAATTGTTTAAAAAAAGCATTATTATTATTTTTATATTTTACTGTGAACATGTTGTGGCTTTGTGTCATTATCTCCAATTTTTCTATGATTGTGTATGCATAATGTTTGACACACAAATCAACAATGCATTATTTACTAATAAACTGTTCTTTTTGTTGCTTAAATTCAGGGTACTACTCTCCTGACCATACGAGCAACAGATGGTGATCGTGGTGTGTCAAATAATATCATTTTTAATATCACTAAAGGTGAGCAACCATAATCTTTACATATTAGTTAAAAGATCCTGTTTATGCCAGTGATGCATGAGGCATATGATGCTAGACCCATTTTGTTTTAAAGATCGGTCAGCACCTGTTACCTGGTACCCATTTCAGCCTGCAGGAGCTAAAATATACTTTTTTTAATTGGAAAAAATTTAATAGTTACTTTTATTAAAATAATGTGAAATAACATCAGCATATATTTTCTATTTATCATAATAATCATAACGTGTCCTAATGATTGGTGTGGGTAATCATGCCTCTCCACAAGCTGCAATCTTCAACAGCATATACCAGTTCATGTCTTGACACCCTCAGTGCCATGACAAAAAGCTACCAATAAACATCTAGGGTTGTCTTCATGTCTCTTTTTCCACAAATCTTTCTAGTGGTCACAACATGTCCAGTTTCTTTCTTCTCATAACATGACTAAAAATATGATGACTGTCTCTTTCTGATGTTTGTGATAAGTTTGTCTTCAAGCCCTCGCCTCTTTCAAAGTATCTGGGTTGCTTGATTTGGCTTTGCAGGATATTCTAAGCATTGTTCTGTAAAAATACATCTCCTAGGCTTCAAGAAATTGTTTGGTTTGTTTATTAATTGTCCAGGATTCACAGCCATATTATAACTGGCTGAAAATAGCATGCAATAATTCTTTTTCCAACTTTTGATGACATGGATTTGTTGCATAAAATATTTAGTTCATGCCTACCATTTTTTGTCAAGTGTGTTTTACATATAGAAAAGTCATTTAATTTTCTATATTTCAGAAACATGCCTAGGTCTTTTTGAAATCCATCCACAATCTGGCGTGGTAAATTTAAAAAGTTCAGTTGACCGTGATAAAGGAGACGTGTATACAAATAATGGAGTCTGCACTCTTGACGTTCAGGTATATTTGTAGGTGTTGAAAGCAACTGTGTCACAAAACTGTTAAAATATGCATATGCAGGTGTGTTTTTTTTAATGCAATAAATATTCTTTTCTTTGTAGAAAAGCAGGGAAAAAAATATATTTAGTAATGTATTTTGGACAAATTAATTCATTTTTTCTTTGAAGTCGGGGAGCATCTACCTAAAAGACCCGGAACCAACAGTCTGCACAAAAATATGCCAGAGCTGTAAACACAACACTACAGTCTTGGAAGAAGACCTAAGTCCAGAGGTGGATGAACAACCAGGACTTTAGCTGGAGTTTACGGAAGAAAAATTATTCAAATAAAAATTATACTAATTCAAATGAATATTAACAATCCAGAGAGTAGATTTGTAATTACCTTTCACAATGGACTTTTCTTCATCATCATCATGTGCCCTGCCAACAGCTCACAATCCCTGGTTGCCTCAAAAGCTCTCTTGATGATATCCCTCCATGCCATCGTTTCAGCCCATCCAGCATTATCTATTTTCTTACCTTTAAAGAAAAAAGAATATTTCAGCCATTGGTAAAGGATGATACAAAATTATTGTGAGTTACCTGACTAGTTAATTCTCTGAAAGACTGGATTTTAACTGATTAGTCAATTGCATTGACATACAAATCTGTTTTGGTTATATAAAGCCAGGAAAGAGGCTATTGCTGACAATTTAACACAGAACACTGTCTTGTTAAGGAAGCTTTCCAAGCACTAGGCTATCTCATGGTGATTTTAGTCACAGGTGTGATGGAGAGTTAAGGCTACTGTGATTTGTATAAGAAGATACTCTGTAACCCTTCCCCTTTCCCCCCAGCCAGCAGGCTCTGTGCTGGTTTTGTGGCTTCTCATGCAAGACTCCTGCCACATTTCTGTGCTGTCTGCTGTGGATAATGGCATATTTTGGCCTAATCCTAGCTGGCAGGAAACCTTATAGTTATTGAGCCTCATAGATGCAACAGCATCCAGAAATCCTTTGGCCCTCATCAGCCCAACACTTGTGCATGGGGGAAAACGTACATTGAAATCTCATTAAAAACAGTGAGATCTGCTGACTCAATACCTTACAAACTCAGGTTCAAATGTCTGTCATTTGAAAATCTAACTATACAGCTTGGTTCAAATGTGTTATTTGAAAATCCTACTATACGGCTTGGTTCAAATTTCTATCATTTGAAAGTCCTACTATAAAGCTTTGAATATCAAGGCTCTATAATAAACAGCAATGGAGACTGTTCAACAGAAATTAAAAGAAGGATGGTCATAGCAATGCAAAGATTGAACAGCCTTAAAAGTCTATGGTTAAGCACCAGCAAGGAGATGCAAATTAGAATTTTGAGAGCATGCATCTTCCCTGTGGCTACATACGGATGTGAGTCGTAGACTATCTCTCAGTCCTTAAGAAAGAGAATAGGGGCTTTTGAGCTGCAATGCTATAGAAAGATTTTCAGAATATCTTAGACAAAGAAGAGGAGAAATATTGACATTTTAAAAGATCTGAACATCAAGGAAGATTATCTAATAAACAGCATCCTTTCTCGGAAGCTGAAATATTTTGGTCATATCAAGCGCCACAACGGATTGGAAAAAACTATAGCAGAAGGCATGGTACCAGGAAGGAGGGGCAGGGTCCGACCGACATGAAGATGGGCACAGGATATAAGTGACTCCTTGAGTATGAAAGTGCATGAGGCGGGAGAACTGATGAGAGACAAAGTGTCTTTCAGGCAGACTGTGTTGAGAGCGAGGTTCTGCAAAGGACCTGCTACATGATGATGATGACTATAACGCTTGGTTCAAATGTCTGTCATTTGAAAGTCCTACTATAAGGCTTGGTTCAAATGTCTGTCATTTGAAAGTCATACTATATGGCTTGGTACAAATGTCTGTCATTTGAAAGTCCTACTATATGGCTTGATTTAAATGTCTGCTGACTGAGAATCCCACTTTTTTTTGCTGCTTGGGTTCAATTGTCTGTCCACCACATGTTCTACTGAGTGACAGCAAAGGTTCTGATGTTCCCTGCTCAAAGATTCTTCTATGATACAAAAGGTTGAAATGTTTGACCAAGGGTCACATTCATCAGAGTTCAGTGACCATATAGGGAAGACATACCTGATGCATGCTACCCATAAATGCCACAAAAGGTGCCCAGAGGCATGCACATGAGATATGCCATTGTCAAAGAGAGAAAGCTAACAGACTAAGGAAGTGAATGCCTATTTGTGCAGAGATTCAGAGTCTCAGGTCTGCAGACCACTTCCTGGGAATCACAAGTCCTAAATCCCACAGCTGAAGTTTCAGTCTGCACCTTTCAAACTATTATTTTGTCATTCAAGACAAGGATAATTTCATGTTTCACATTTCAGGCCACTGAAGACAATCAACACCCACAAGTTGCCGGCAGTTACAAAACTACAACCTCAGTTACTGTCACAGTCTCAGATGTCAATGACAATGGTCCAGTGTTTTCACAGACATCCTACAATGTTACAGTTGATGAGAATACACAACAGGGTGTGCCAGTTAATCTCAACACACCCATCACTATTTCTGACGCTGACCAGGTATGTTTATAATTGAAAATCATAAAAATTTTAAAGATATTCTTTCAGTCCTAAGAGTTCAAGTTAACTCTTTAAGGTCACTTAAACACTGCAGGAACTCAGTGTGGATATGCTTTTCCGTATATGCTAAACTGCAAGAAATGTAAAGCTTTCATTTCTTTCAGCAGCAGCAGCTGAGGAACACTTATATCGGACAAGACAGACATTCCACAAACTATCTATGAATAAATGCTGATGAAACATTTGATGTTAGATGAAACAACATGTGTAAAGTTGCATGAATTTGGAATTAAGTGTGGATCCAGCAATAAAGACCATATGAGAGGACAAGAATGACATGTGTACAACCAGTATCTTAATAGAACAGTTAGCATCCATGCCTGAAGATAGTTGCTGGATGGGCTGTTATGGCAATTTTTAAATCAGCACTTCATCTGGTTCATCATATCAGCTCCATCTCCCTTCTCAGCAGCTAGCAAAGAGTCTCAATACTGATGTTAGGATTGTTAGCTGGTTAAATACTTGTCTTACCTTTCCCCTAGTCTCAAGTGGTGCCTCGGGCCTGCACACTGCCCCCCCCCCTCTCCCTCCCACTGCATCATTCTCTCCAGGTTTTCAATAACTTTCATTTTACTTGTTGCCTTATCTCACAGGCAAGAAATCACCTCTGCCTTATGCAGTTGCTGTACAACCCCAAGTGTGACCAGTCCAGCGAACCTATCTGCCTGCTCATTCCCAAACATGTCTGCATGGTCTGGGCAAAATGCCCATGTGACCCCCACCCATTGCTACCTCTGGATTGATGCTGCCCATTCCATACCAAAAAAAAAAACAAGACTCCACCTTCTTGAGCATGCTTTGCGAAGCTGGTTCTTCCAAATTAGTTCACAGTCCTATGCAATTGTTACTACATTATTTTAAATCCCAAATTTCATTATTTCAGAGTACACATCTTTGAATATTTATTAGTAAAAACAAACAAATATGGTAAAGAGTTGGGTAAAGTAATAAATGGGAGATAACAGTTTCATTTAATAGAAGAGTGTGACAAAAGAAGTTAAGAAACATACACAGTATAAAGAATTATTAATGAAGATTTAATGTGTTGTTGTCTAATACTGAAGGAATTCAGTGTGCCCTGGCAAGATGTTTAAAAAAAAAATATCTGCCACATTACATGATAGAGAAAACTAAAAATTTAAAATCAACCACATATGACATGTTGCTAAGGTAGAAAGATTATTATTGTGATCATCACAGTTTTTTAAAATCATTACCCTCATCAACATATTCATCAAATATGTTCATCAAAATACTTTAAATCTTGATCCCTCTAACCGTTATCATTAGCACTGCCTTCATGATCATCATCTTTATGGTTTCATCATTTTCATCAAAATTATCTTCATTGATTTCATCATCATCATACTCAAATTGTTTGATTTTTGTTTTGGATAAATGTTGTAGTTGATGCTCACTACTGGATGCAGAAAAACCAGATTTGTAATTAAAATTTAAACCTAATAGTTCTTCTTCTTTTTCTTCTTGTACCTTGTACCTCATCAAAGTGTCGGGAGGGGGGGGGGGGGGGGGGCGACATTCGTTGATGAGGTTTGTCAACCGCACCATTAAGACTGATGTTCATTTCTGTTCCTAATGCCATCACTCCATATTTTCTGAGCTCTTCCACTGGGTCTATACCTGTTGTAATGTTTTAGTGTGGCTCGTTGTGGCAGATAGTACCAGGGAATTCTTGCTAGGTGTCCAAACCATTTCATTTGTTGTTCTTTGATGACTTATAAGACTGACTTTATTCCTAGCATTCGTCTGATTTTGTGATTTCGTATTCTGTCTTTCCTTGAAACTACTGCAGCTCTTCTAAGGCATTTCATCTCTGTTGTTACAATTGTACGTTCATTGAAGGATGTAAGTGTCCACGATTGCCACAGATAGCATAGTGTTGGCCAAAAATAGTTCTTATAAGATTCACTTAAGTGAATCTTATCTTTAGAATCTTTAGAAACCTAATAGTTACAGAATGAAATTGACTCAAAAAAGAGTTTCTGCATCAGAAGCAGGCAGACAAATTTCTTTGGGCATGTGAGAAAATGAGAAAGAGGGAAAACTGAAGTATGTTGTGACAACAGGAAAGTTGGTGAAAAAGAGATGAGGGAGAGACCAATAGAGAGGATTTAGGACATTTTATCCTCATAACATGGCAGAACATATGTGTTAAAACTGATCCACAGAAGTTCTTATTCTTTTCTTACACTTGCCTAATTGGTAATTTAAAATAAAAAATTGGGGCAGGGGGATATTATAATTTTCTGTGCATTCTCTCTAATTCATTATATAAGTTGATCTTTATTTTTTCAAGGCAGCTCTTGATGTCATTGTTCCATATTTATATAGTCTAACCCCTTGCTCTTAATTCATTATATTTCTAAAGTGCGGCAGTTGGTACCAGGATGTTCAAGTCAGAAGGTCAAACCATATAATCTGTTGCTCTTTAAGGAAAGGCTGTGAACAGACATAATTGTCATTGCCACATTGCACAGATTATAAGATATTGTGTGAAGACAAGGGAAGTAAACTGGTTACCTCTTCTGACATCATGGCATAGAAAATGTGAAGGACTAGGCATTTCTCTCTCCAGCCGCAGTTTTAACCGTGGGATGTCTTTAGCTTTAACCTGTTTGATGTTTTAGAGATTAGTGAGGACTGTCATCACAGCACTCAGGACAGATCCGTAGGTGCTGTGATCGTTTCCTCAATAACCCCACAAGAGTGAAATGACTGATCACACACATTCTGTGTTGATTAAAACAGACATTTTGTGCTCATAGTGAAATATTCCTGTCTGGCTTAGTTGCACTCTCATGTCCACCAACATGGGCAGGAATAATACCGTTTTATTAGTTGTTACATTTGTTAGATCAAAATTCATGCTTATTATCATCTTGTTGATACTTTTTTCCATAATTGTAATCACAAACATTAAAATGTAAACCCTGTTTTCACTTTGTTTAGGGAGTAAATGCAGAATTTGAAGTGCATGTCTTCAGTCTGGCAGATTATTTTGAAGTGACTCCATCACGAATACAATCATCAGGAGATGTTTTAATAAGAGTGAAGAACTCAACCATCCTTAACTATGAAGCAGTTCAAAATCTCACTCTTGAGGTAATTTATTTAGTACACACTGTTAACAATAAGGAAAGTACTGTCTTTAAAGCAAGAAGCGTTGTATTTTAAAATATATATTTTAATAGAAATTTAGCTGACCTTTAATGTAGATAAACAGCAGTGGCTGATTTTTCTTAGTTGCACTCTACACAAATAAGGCAAGAATCCAGGCAAGAGTATGTGTCTAATTTTATACGAAAACGCCGCTGGAACTATATCGGCCACGCCCTTAGAATGGATAAATCAAGACTTCCTTACCAAGCCCTCATTTGGACACCACAGGGGAAAAGATCTCGTGGAAGACCAAGGGAAACCCTACGTAGAACTATCATCAGGGAAGGCTCGCTCATGGGCCACTTAAACATCCAAGACCTACAACAGATTGCAACGAACCGCCATGCATGGAGAGTCATGACCTTTGCCCTATGTGCTGCACTTGACACAAGAGGAAAGACTAACTAAGCACTCTAGTTGACCCAGCGTCAGTAAATTGACACTGTAATTTTAAGAGTTTCTGGGAATTATTTTTAAGCAAAATGAGCACTGGGTTCAACTTTTTGTGCTGTGGCTAGCATGCTTGCCTACCAAATCAGTGGTTATATTAAGTGTGGATCCAGTAAAAACGGGAGTGTAGGGGAAAGAGTACAATGTTTTTACAACCATATGGGGGCTGGGTGGTCTCAAGGTTTAGTGTTCATCTTACCGCAGTAAGGGCTGAGATTTTTTTTTAACTTGGACTTGGACTTCTAGTAATTTCCCCTGGTCTCTGGGTAGTGAGATCGGATTACCATGTGCATTGTTGTACAAGTAAAAAATCCTTTGGCAGTTGGAAATTGAAAAGAGTAGCCTAACGGCACTGCCCAGGCAAAATTTGGAGTTACAAATCTACTTAAAGTATTTCAGGATCCTTGCAGTTGCTACAGAGCCTGTGCACTGTGCTGAGCTTCTTCTGACTTAGACTTGAGTTAGAAGAAGAACAGAGAACTTATGGGTTACTAACTGTGTGCCATGATGTTGATCCGTTGTTCAAACCTTAAACCTCAAACCATATGTTACTCAAACAGTCATCGCCTACACTTTTAGACATTAGCTGTAGGAGACATAGCATCTATGGGTATACTTGGTGTCCATGTGTAAATCGGTAATCTCCCTGTCAAGGTTAAAGGGCCCCAGTTTTGGGGAGAAAAGAACAGACATACTGCCCCTTTACAAGCATGTCATAAAAGGCGACTATTTAAGGACCTGCTGAAATCAAATAAGTTGGGCTGATAGATTAAAATGTCACAACCTAGCTTTTAATGCACAACACAATGTATCAACTGCCCTTTTAAGGACAGATGCAGAAAAAAAAATCACTAATCATTGCTTATAAACAGATTTTTAAAAAAATAATGTATAAGGCCTCTAGGTAAACCCAGCCTAAACTTTGTAACAGAAAATTTTTAATCATGTGCTGTAGACATAAATATATTAATGATCTTGCTTCATGCCATCATCTAAGGAGAATGTCACTGCGAGGAGTTACCAGGGGATCTAGCCAACGCTCAACACTCAGGGGAAGGATGTTGAATCAGATGGTTACTGGTGCCATCGAAATTGGATTTCTTTGCTTGCTGTTGAAGCTGGGGACTGAGCACTTATGGGACTGTCTGGAGTGCTGTGATGTCGATTCTTAATTCAACATTAAACATTCTCCATGCCATCATCTTAGACCATCCTGCTTGGTCTGTCTCTACCCTTTACTTATTCTACTGTGTCTCCTCTAATCACATTACCCATGAACACTGTTTCTTATAACTGAGTACAACATTAGCTTTTATGAGATGCTTTTAACTTCTTCTTCTGCGTTCACACTTAGAATGGTGGTTGGCACATTGTGTTGTGATTTACATCAGTGCTGCAATGTATGCTCCTTACAATCAAACACATCAGTTTACAGCAAATGCCTAATTAATCACATTTTACAACATGTTTGTTATGGAATCTTTCATCACTATCACTTTAATCATTTTTAGTTTAGTAAACAAGTCATATCCCAACCAGTTATGCCCTGCGCTGAATCTATAGACAGTAGAACCTTGCTTAACGAGCACCTCTCATAACGAGTAATTCGCATAACGATCAAAACCAATTGTAAAAAAATGACTTGCTTAACGAGCGACGTTTCGCATAACGAGTGCCGAGGAGAGGGGAAGTCCCGGATTGTGCGCATGTTTTATCAGTCTGTGTTTAGCACTCGTTCCAGTAGCATCGTAGTGTCGCTTGTGATCACACATTTCTCAAACTTGTGTTATATTGTGATATATGTACTTGAATCCTCCAGGCCTACAAGATTACCTCCCTGAAGAATTTAAGTTCATCAAAATCCAGTTTCTGCCTCCCAACACCACTCCGTTACTCCAGCCCATTGACCAGCAAGTTAATTCTATCTTTAAAAAGCTTTACACTTAAGCACTCTTCGAGCATTGTTTTCAGGTGACTGAAGGGACCAACCTCACTCTCAAAGAGTTTTGGAAAAATCACTTCCATACTGAAAGCATGGGAAAATGTTGCATCTTACATTGAGAAGCATCACCCTAATAAGGAAGTGGCAATGCATGCTGCAAATTTATTTAATGATAATGCTGTGTCGCATTTTCACCAAATTTTGAAGCGTCGGCAAAAACAAATGTCTCTGGATATCTTTCTAGTAAACAAATAATTAGCTATGTATCATAATTATTTCGACTTTTTTCTGCAAATCGAATTCGCATTCCAGGTGGGTTCGTTCCGCAATTGAAGAAAAGATGAAGATGATTCACTCTCCTTACCAATATGTATATAACTTTCTTTGAATAAATGTTATACATAGCATTTTGTAAGTATTCTTTGCGACATGGAATGCATTATCGTATTTTACATTAATTTATATGAGAAAAATTGTTTCGCATAACAAGTGTTTCGCTTAACGAGTATGATTCTGGAACGAATTATGCTTGTTAAGCAAGGTTCTCCTGTAGTACATTTTAACTGGCACAGTAAATTGAAGTTTGATATTTTCTATACAAACAGTTAGAAGCCAGAGACACATATGGAAACAGCAATAGCAGTAAGGTCACAGTGACAATCCACATCAACAACCTCAATGACAACAGCCCTGTGTTCTCAAACTCAACATTTTATGCAAGTGTTCCAGAGAACTCTCTTCCAGATACATATGTTACAACAATCATAGTAAGTTTTTCATTTCATAAGTTTATTTTAAAATATGTGTAAATACGAGTTCTAGACACATGTGTAGATCATATGGAAGATATATCTTGGAGATAAACAACACTACTGGACTGGCAAAAGCTACATTTATAACGAAGAACATCTTATGCAATCAATTTCTGTCTTTAGAGGTTAGAAAAAATAATTCTGACAAGCTATAGAGAACCAATTTTAACCTATGGCTGTGAATCCTGGACAACTGATAAGTAATCATGGACAACTGATAAGTAAGCAAACCAATTTCTTGAAGTCACATAGATGTGTTTTTACAGAACAGTGCTTAACATTCTTAGTACAAGCAGAATGAGGAACCCAAATTTTGAAGAAGAAAAAAAGGCTTAAAGACAACTTTTTCACAAACTTTGGAAACAGACTTTAGTAATTTTTGTGTGGCCGTTTTGTGAGAATAGGGAAATGGGAACATAGTGTGACCACAGGAAAGATTTGTGAACAGAGAGATGGAGGAAGACAGCCTAGCAGGATTCTTGATAGCATGGAGAGATATCAGCGCACAAACTAATTAATACATGCTGTTAGAAATCACAGACATCACTTTCATAGATCAAGAAAAAGCTTTCGATAGAGTAAACAGAAATTTATTATGGAAAGTTCTTGAAAACTACGGTATAAATGGAACAATTTTAGATTGTGTTAGGGCTATTTATAGACAAAGTGAAAGCGCCATTAGAACAAGAGCTGGCATCACAGACTGGTTCCCAGTAACATCAGGAATAAGACAAGGTTGTGTATTATCACCTTTACTTTTCATAATATTTATGGACAATATTAATAAAATAGACATAACACCAACAGATGTCGATAAACAGGAGGACTTCAATGAGCTGCTCTTTGCCGACGATCAATGCATATTTCACAGTGATAGTAAACAGCTGCAAGACCACATAAACCTACTACACGACAGTTGCCTCAAGCATCATATGAAGATCAATACTGAAAAGACAGAAGTCATGAGCATAAGTTGAGAACAACAAACCATTGACATAAAGATTCTAGATCACAGCCTAAAACAAGTGCAAGAATTTAAATACTTGGGAAGTATCTTTACATCCAATGGTAAAAAAGACAGAGAGATCGAAGCAAGAATCCAACAAGCCAACAATGTCGCATACCAGCTTGCCCCAATTTTAAAACACCCTGCTGTCCCAGCTGAGATAAAAAGACAAATTATAAATACAATCTTTATACCGACATTAGGTTATCAATGTCAGACTTGTACATTAACAAAAGAACAAAATGAGATGTTTGAGAATGGCTGCGAATAAAACCAGAAGAGATAGAGTGAGAAACGATGTGATTACAAGAACTATTGGAACCATACCCATCGTTAAATTTATTGAGAAGCAAAGAATGAAATGGTTTGGTCACCTAATGAGAATGGAACCAACGATGCCTGCATCAAGAGCATACAACATGAAAATCGAAACACCAAGAGGCAGGGGAAGACCAAGAAGAAGATGGATTGAAGGAGTCACGGACAACTTGAGACTTCATAACATCACAGCATATGAAGCGACTGAGCGCGCCCTGGCTCAGTTGCCGATCATCTGATAGACTGCGACGCCTAGTGGCACAAGCAGATTTTGACAAAAGAAGAAGAAGAAGTTAGAAATCACAAGTTGTCGAGAGGTATGATTACCCATGGTAATTGACGACAATGCACTTGATGATGATGATACCTAACTTTCTTCGGTGCAGTTGTTCATTTATATTTATTATTACAATTTATAATAGTAGATACAAATTTGTGTGGTAACTATTTTGCCATCAACAGCCATTTAAAAAAAAACATTTAATCTTCTTCTTCACCTCTTCTTTTACAAATTTGAGTTCTGAGAGAGATAAAACAGTTCTGCTTTTTTGCTCTTCTAGCCACCTCGACCATGGGCATATTGTTCTGTTGAAGTCTCTGTTGTTTTCTTCTTATCTTGTTCTTACTCTACCTTGAGCTCTGCATCCTTTTTCTATTATTGGTGTATGCCTTGCATCACAAAGCATGTTCCCTAAGTGGGAAAACCATTTGATTTGCTAACTTTATATGTAATTTAAAATTGTTTCAGTGCTGACTTTTTCTCGTATGACCTCATTTCTGATTTTATCTGTTCAGGTCACTCCTGCAGCCCTTCTCACAGATCTCATATTTGATCAGATGACAACACTTATTCTGGAATGGAAGAAAGTCTTTTCATTTAAAAAAAAAAAAAACTATTTAGGGCAAAATAAGTTTTTTTTTAATTTTTACTATTTGAGTCCCAAGGAACGCATCATACGCTCATAGGTCCCTACCTAAAAGCCCAATGAACGCATGATGCGCTGATTTTATGACTCTATTTACTACCCCCACCCCCCCCCCCCCCCCCCCCCCCCCCCCCCCCCCCCCCCCGCCTGTGATGCTAAACCCCTTGGGACTCAAAGAGTTAAAGAAAAATTATTATTATTATAGAACTATTTAACGCCATATTTTTTAAAGTTTTTTTTTTAAAATATGGCGTTAAATAGTGTAACAGCTATATGCTCATCTGCAGATCCCAAGGTCATGGGTTCAACTCGCAATGGACGCAGAATTTCAATGCCATGGTGGCAGATTTTCTCCCATTCTGCATACATGTCCAAACCATCGTAACTGTGACTGATCAACTTGGGTTTGTAGGGACTGGGTATCAAGATCTTGACGTATTGTTTGATTGCGAACTTTGTCCCTTCTTGTCACTTGGACCACCTTTCTCAGATATCTAATTTCTGAAGCCTAAGGCTGGCTTCTTTGAGCTGTGGTCATTGTCCATGACTCACCCTCATGGGTCAGAACTGGTACATAAGTAGAGCGGTAAACAGCGGTAAAACAAAAAATAGCCAACAGATGCTGAAGTTGGTTCTTCAATGTCCTGTAAAGGATATGCAACAAAATAATTTTTTTAAACCATTTGTGTAAACAGTATCTGGTCTTAGAAAATTTCAGAAGGAGGCTCATTATTTTTTAGTCATGTTATGAGAAAAAGGAAACTGGAACATCTTGTGACTGCTGGAAAGATCTGTGGGGAAAAAAAAGACACAGGAAGAAGACAACAGGCGATAATTATTGACAGCGTTTTGTCATGGCATGGAGGAATATCAAGAGTTTGAAAACTCTTGAAAATGTAGAACATTTCACATATCTTGGCAGTGTGGTGTCCCTCCTGGGAGGGACAGATGAAGACATACAGTCATACCTGAACAAAGCTAGAGCTGCTTTTGGAAGGATGAGGCAAATCTGGAAATCCAACAATTACTGCAGAGGAACAAAACTCCGACTCTACAAGAGCATCATTTTGCCAGTTCTTCTTTATGGAGCGGAATGCTGGAGAATGACCAAAAAGGATGCACACAAGCTGTCCACCTTCCACCACACATGTCTACGTAGAATTATCAAAATTTTCTGGCCAGATACAATCTCAAACACTAAACTACTTAAAGCCACAAACCAAGAAACTTTAGACAGTATGATTACCAAGAGAAGATGGAAATGGCTTGGCCACGTTATAAGAATGACTTCTGATATACCTGCCAAAACAGCTCTCACATGGACACCAGAGGAAAAGAGAAAACAGGGGTGCCCAAAAACAACATGGAGACGAACCATGGAAAGTGACCTGAGTGCGGCATCTTTGACATGGAAAACTGCACTGAAGATTTCCCAGGACAGGAAATCATGGAAAGTCCTCTCTGAAGCCTCATGTGCTACTAGGCATAACGAGAACTGATGATGATGATGGAGGAATATCAGCACACAAACTGAAATATGCTGTTGAAGATCACAGGTTGTGGAAAGACAAAATCACCAATACTAGTTGGTATGGCTCCTAATTTTGATGATGATTGCTTTCTCTTGTTGCTTGCTAGGCAACTGATGAAGATAAAAATGACGGAATTCATGACTATGGAACAGTCAGTTACAGACTGCAGGGATCAGATACCAGGTTTCTATTTTCTTTTATGTTAATGACCTTTAGTAAATTCTTTTTAATGCATTTTAGGGATTTTTTTTAATTATATTAAAACTCTTTCTATGGCAGGAAGTTAACATTTGTATTATTTACATTCAGAGCAGTTGTTACTTTTGTGCTTTCAGTCATCAAAGCTGTCCATTATGGAAAATATATTAATAATAAAAGCATAAATATCTTACTTACATAAAGGCTGATAAGCACACAGTGTTGGAGAAAACAAATGTATTCACATATTATTTGAGTATCCTCTGATTAAAATTAAAAAGTGTAATAACGAATAAGACTGATTTTTTTAAGGTGAAGAACTGGTAATGACACATAAAATATTGGTTTTGTAAATGTGAGGAATAGATAATCACACATAAAATACAGTGGACCTCCAACATTCATCCATGCCAATATTCAACTTTTTTTTTTTTTTTAAGTTCATCCTGTTTTTTGTTATTGAAATGTGTGTTCCATATTTGCCCGAAAAGCCTCTATGTGTCCCTCCTTTCAATGTTGCCAGTGAGGTATGGCTGGCCACTAGGGCAAAAAAAAATGCAGGTTTTTGTTGTTGTTGAGAAATGGCACCCAAACATTGCTATACTTAATCAGTGTATCTATGCATTTGATAATGATGTGTTCGGAAAACTTTCATAAATTAAAAAAAACAAAAACAGAACAAACCAAATGACTTTGGATAACGTCTTTTTAAAAAACAAATGTGTGCTGGTGAGTCATCAGGACATCAATCACCAAAAGTGATGTAACCTAATGTCATAATGGAAGGTGACTCCCCTTCCAAAGAATAGCCATTGTATTTTCATTCAAAAGGTAAATTTCTTTTCAAAATTGAGTTTACATATTTATATAGGTCTACAGTATATTTACATCATCAAGACGGTTAAATCTTTGTCATAATAATTAAGCAATAATAAGTACAATAGTTAATATGTAATAAAAATGTATTTCAAATGATTTCTGAGATTGATTTCCCATTGAAAGTGTATGTGTGCTTTTTGTTGCTATTAAAGTAAAGATTGGAAAAATTTGGAGTTAGGAATGGAATAAACCATTTTCCTAATTCCATTTTAATATTCGTCACCCCCCCCCCCCCTTTTTTTTTTCCCCTTCCCCCCAAATTAATAACCAATACCGGAGTTCACTATACTGAGTATGTAAATATGAAGAATAAATAATCACACATTACCTACTGATTTTGTAATGAGAGAAATAGATAATCACACACAAATCCCGATTTTGTAAATGCGTGGAATATATAATCTCACATAACATACTGATTTGTATATGTCAGAAATAGATAATCACACATAAAATAAATACTGATTCTGTAAATGTAGGGAATTCATAATCACACATATAATACTGATTCTGTAAATGTAAGGAATTGACAATCACATATAAAATACTGATTCTGTAAATGTAAGGAATTGACAATCACATATAAAATACTGATTCTGTAAATGTAAGGAATTGACAATCACATATAAAATACTGATTCTGTAAATTTGAGGAACAGATAATCACAAAAGACAAGTACAATCAAATGTTTTGACCTGAACTTTGTTAATGGCCAACAACAGACATATAAACAACTTAAAAGTCAGTATGGAACAAGAAATAGGAAGCTGGGAAAGATGTGAAGAGGAATAGCTTGAGTTAGAAAAGCTAAGAGTCATAACGATTCGTATACTGGACATCATTTCTCCATTAGGAACCTGTCTTTAAAGAATATAATTAATGTCATATTAAAATATCTTATCCCTTATTAAAAGAAGTAAGTAAGTGTCTCTGTTTACACCAGTGAATTATAATAGGACATAATTATGCTTGCCTCATTTTTTTTTTTTTCTGAACCAATTAGCACTTAGTGTGTTATGTAGTCAGTGTTGCAGCAGCCACCTTCACTTTAAAAGGAAATTTCCTGGTACCCTGAGAACCAAGGTCAGTTATGAAATATCGGCCACAGTGTTGACCTGAGCCCAAAACTTTTGAATCGGCAGGCAGACATCTAGCCACTGTGCTACTGGGGCTCTCAGTGTCCAGTATTCTTTGATCTCTTTCATGTCACCAGACTTACTATGTAACCAATGTATGATGTCTAAATTGCAAATTACTTAATTATGCTTGTACCTAATGCAGCTTCAAAATAAATCAGTCTACGGGGGAAGTAACAGTTGACAATGGAACACTGGATAGAGAAACAAAAAATGTTTACTACTTAACTGTGATTGCTGAAGATGGAAGTCACATCAAGGTTTGGCTTGTGGTTTATTATTTTATGTTTGTCTCCTAGAATTATTATTTCTTTTATGTTTGACATAAAACTGTGTGACAACATAATTAGTTTATACGTGTCATTTAAAAGGACTAATAGACTGTGATTGTTGGGAGCATATGGAGGTAATAGAGAGACGAAAACTGTGTACACAAAAGAGCTGAATGAGGATAGACAACAAGGCAGACTAAGAGGATGGTGGAGAAATAATATAATATACAGGTAGACATACAAACACTTAGATTCAGCAAATGGAAAGAGAAGTCAATCAACAGATATGAATTTAGGTGGGTGATATCTGCAGCAATGATCCTCAGGGGCCAGGAATGCTGAAGCAGAAGAAGAGGAGACATGAGGAGATTCAAATTCAATTCCTTGGTAAGGCTGTGAATTTTTTTCTCTCAAGGGGTAAAATTAAAATCCTAAACTGCACAGTCCATGGGGACAGCACTTGAAATGCGGCCTTAAATCCTCAGGCTCAAGAACCATTCCCCTCCCCTGTTGCCTACACCACAAAAGTGGTAGTATATAACCAGACAGACCAATCCCATTTCATTCCTGTCAATGGCTGGCTTAGGGGCCCAGCACACTTGTTCGCCCGGGGGCCAATAGTGCTGTTAAGATGGCTCTGGGAGTAGGTTTTCTTCTTCTCTTTTTCTTTCTCTTCTTCTTCTTCTTCTTCTTCTTCTTCTTCTTCTTCTTCTTCTTCTTCTTCTTCTTCTTCTTCTTCTGTTTTTCTTCTTCCTTTTCTTCTTCTTCTTCTTCTTCTTCTTCTTTTTCTTCTTCTTCTTCTTCTACTTCTTCTTCTTCTTCTTCTACTACTTCTTTTGTTTCTTCTGCTGTATTTACCTGTAAAATTCTGGTTGACATACTGTGTTGGAGTTTATGCAAAGGCTGCAATATCTGCACCTTTCTGCTCAGTGCATCAGATTTCAGCAGGAGAATAACTGTTCACTTGGTAGTACAAGAGCCAGGTTGTATCACTGTAATTTCCCTGAGAAAAAATTTGTCATAGTAGTCGATAAAGGGGGCAGGTGGTTTCACTTTAACCTAATCTGGCTTAGAAAATAGGTAGCTAACTAGTGGTACAAGAGGTGTGTTGTATCACAGTTTGAATGATGAATGTTGAATTAAGAATAAACATCACAGCACTCAAGACATTTCCATAAGCACTCTATCCCTATCTTCAGCAGCCAGTGCAGAGTTGTGATTCTGATAGTGCTAGCAATAGCTTGATTGTGTGTACATCTCCCCTTTTCTATAAGTGTTGAGCATTGGCCAGATTTCTTGGTAACTTCATGCAGCATTTTTCTCCTCAGACCATGGTGAATGTATCACAAAATATTTAGTTCAGAAATAATACAATTAATGAAAATGTTTTAGTTTTTCATAATAATCATGTATCACAATAGTCTGGCTAGTAGATTAAATATCCTAGAAGGAAGGAAAATTTAAATTCTTCAATATACTGTGCTGAAATTGTATGCATCTTTAATAAAAGTCGCAGGTGTCACATGTTACACAATCAGGGTGGCCAGATGCTTTGTAGGCAGTAATTTATTTCAGAGCAGCTGAGTTGGAAAAATCAGAAGACAAAAGATACATGCTTTATTTTGTTATCTTATAAATTTCATAGTTAATACCTGGAATTTCTGGTTTGCAATACAGACTAGTGCACCTTTAGAAATAACAGTTTCTGATGAAAATGACGAGATACCCAAATTTGTTGCAACTGATTATCAGACATCACTCAAGGAAGGGGAAACAACTTTTATTCAGCCAATTACAGTCCATGTAAGCGTTTTTTTTTTTTAAATATTGTGCTTCTAACAGTGTCGCACTGCATTTTGTTGTGTGCCCATGCATGCACACACGCACACATCAGCACACACACAGACACACACACACACATACTGTGATTTGCAGAAGGGCAGTGGCTACTTCTCTTGCCTACTGGACTATTGGTCAGGTTCCAATTGTTATAAATTGTTAACATTGTTGTTGACTTCCATTTAATCCATTCTGAAATTGATACATAGAAATGTTCTGGAAAGTAAAGGTTACAGACATTATGTAGACAACATTAAACATCTGTTCATCTATGAAAATATGGAGCTTACAGCTTTTGCCTTAGAAGATTCATCCTTCTTCTTCTTCTTTTTCTTCTTCGCGTTCACGAGCTGTAAACTCTGGTGGAAAGTTCTCGTTGTTTATCCACTTCTGGACTGCAGTCCTCTTCCAGAACCTGAGTGTTGCATGTGCATCTGTTTTACAGATCTGACTCATTTGTTTGCAGATTGCTGGTTCCGTGCCTCTCAGGCAGATGAACTGTGACTTTGAAGGAAGCTCCCAATTAGTTGACTCTTACAACATGCTTTTGGGGTAGGCAGTGGGTCTATTCTTGTTTTCGCTCTAAAAAGGCCACAGAACCAACACAGGGAAGAATATTCATGATAAAGAAGTTGGTCCTTTCTTTTTTTCTTTTTTTTTTTTCAACATTCTGTACACATTTGATTCATCTTGGTAATGACTTGACATCACAGCATTCAAGATAAGCCCATATCAGCTTCGTCTCCCTTCTCAGCAGCCAGCAAAGAGTCTCCATACTGATGATAACCTATTGTCATCTGGTTAAATTCTTGTCTTGCCATTCGTTGAGTTTTGAATGGCACCGAGAGTGAATGCTAATCACAGAAACAATTTCATGCATGAATACAAATATAAAAAAGGTAGTCAAAAGGTTATTTATGTTTTGAGAATAAAAGATTATTTTTGTCACTTTCTTGAATTCATGTCTTTAAGGGTAAACTTTATTTATAACTTGCATCTATAGGCCACTGATAAAGATGAACCAAACAGCAGAAATTCTGACATTCATTACAACGTTACTTCAACGATACCAATAGGTTTGGATTCATATTTTAGGTTAGTATGTCTCATACATACAGTCATCATTTTTGGGCCATGTTATGAGAAGAGGGAAAATAGAACATGTTGTGACCACTGGATAGATCTGTGTAAGGAGGGATAGAGGAAGACAACGAGAGAAGATGCTTGACAGTCTTGTTGCATGGCATGGAGGTGTGTTGGCACACGAACTGATACATGCTGCAGGAGATCACAGATTATGGAGAGGCATGATCGCCCATGCCAGTCGGCAAGGCACCTGATGATGATGATGATGTCTCATAATTATACACATTGTTTTCATAATAAAATAATTGAAAGTGTGTTAATTTTGTTGCAAGATTAAACACAAAAAGTAACTAGAAGCTGACAAAATGTAGGACATACAGACAATAAGCACAACTTTTGACCAATCATTTGTTGTTGTGTTTTTTTGTCTGTGTGCCTTACGTTTCAACAAGGTAGGTGGTGCATTGTTTGAGAAAAAAAATAAGAAATCATCACATCCAACCATCAACCCTGAAGGGGGAGCTTTAGGTTATAATTATGACTAGGTTATGTGTGTGTTTTTTTCAGTCCATCCCTGCATCAGTTTAGTAGCAGTCTCCGGTCAATTTTGATAATTTTTTGTTGATGTTGAAACTAACAAGTAGGTCTCATCAAGTAAAGCAGGGATTTCTAATCTCATTAAATGAGAATCTGACCATGAATGGTCTGTTTCTATCTCAAATTCCACGACATTGGGCATCAGATCTCTTCACAGCAATGTGTCTCATATTGCCTGTCAATTCTTTTATGCTATGATGCCAAACCGAGTAATAAGTTATGTCTTTAATAAGTTATGTGTCCCCTCTCTTAGTCTCCACTTGTCAGTCTTTCCCTTATTCTGAAAAGATATCAAACCAGATGAAAAGTAGTACCAGTCAGCTTCATAATATTACAAACACAAACTTCAAGTCAACGCTGCGGCAAGAGAGCATTTATCTGCATATACCAAGATCTACAAAATCACAAACATAAACAAAAATCACAAAATCATGTATCTCTGATAGAAATAATATTTCTATTCGGCCTGTACCTTATCGTACCATGCCTAATTAAAATTTTTTTTAATAACTCTTTCATTACCAGCCAGCTCACCATACTTTTATCTTTACAATGCTTATAGTTCTTGGTTACTACCCCCCCCCCCCCCCCATTCTTAAAGATTAAGTGGCGGGGACTGTGTGGTCTTGAGGCACGGTGTCCACCTTGAGTACTAGAGGTTCCGGATTCAATCCCCGGTAAGGGCTGGGATTGTTTCCTGTGGACTTGGACTTCTAGTAATTCCCCCTGGTCTCTGGGTTAGTGTGATCAAACGTCCGTGTGCATTGTTGTGTACATCAAAAATCCCTTGGCAGTTGGAAATCGAAAAGAGTAGCCTAACGGCGCTGCCCTGACAAAATTTTGAGTTAAAAATCTACCTAAAGTATTTCATGATCCTCGACGGTGCTACAGAGCTTGTGCACTGTGTAAAGCTTCTTCGGACACAGACTTAAGTTAGAAGAAGAATGGAGCACTTTTGGATTTCTACCCATGTAAAATTTCTCCCAAAAAATAAGGAACTAGAACTGACACTGAAGAATATTGTCTTTTTCATTCTTCACTGTACACTTTGCATGAGGTATATATCAGACCTTTCTCTCATCAAAGTTTGACTGTATCAGCCACTAGAACAAATCTACTTTGTAACTCTCTTTGTCTGGCTTCAGAAAAATCTAATAAACACATATAGTATTTAAATATGAGGCTTCTAAAGTCAAAAATCTTGTTGGCATGCATGAAGAAGTCTGCTTGGAAGCCATTTTGTTTTTGCACAGAAACATAGTAACTCGGTAAAGCTCACACACATGCTAAATTTTTTTATTTTAACCACTTTTTCGAGAGAAAAAAAGCTAATGGTCAGTACATGTGACATCAAACACAAAGTACGGGAAATACTATTCCAAACTGCTGGTTTGCATTGTTATACTGGTCAGTAGTAGATTAAAAACAAGTAACTGTCACATGCCAGTTTAGTGGCTGGGTAGTAATTGACTGGCACTTGATGCATTCTTTGGTACTCAGAGATTTAATAAACTGTCCTATTTAGTTTATAAAAGATAATAAATATGTTTTAGTTTTGAAATTAATCATTTTATGTGTTACATATTAAAATTGTCTTTGAGGTTTTTCCTTAACTAAGATAACATAATTCATTGAATAGTACAAGTATGTTATGGGATCCAGAGTACCACAACAGTTAATATATTTCTTATTTATGTGTTAGCCTTAATGCCCCTGCCAGACAGGCACACTAAATCACATTGTATGGAACACTGGATGAGACATGTATTGCACCACAGACTTCATAGAAGGCTATGGCCTGCTCATCTGAAAAAAAAATAGCAGGGAGAACTGAAAGAATATGAAGAAAGATTAATTAGTTCAGTTTCTCACTGAGAAAAGCTTTTTTTTTTTTAAAGAGTAGCTAGGAAAGGATAATTACTGGAGTGGTTTAGAAAGAACAGTAATGGAATTTGGGAACCCTTGAAAGAAAAGATAGACTGACCAGCACAAATATTGGCACAGGATTTCTAAGAAACATTTGTCATTAAAATACACGAGGAAGGAAAACAGACAAGAGACAGAGAATATTTTACAGTGGGTAATGATGGGAATGACATTGGGCAAAAGACCTGCTATATGGTGATGATATCTGTGAGTATGTTTGCATGTGCTAACAAATGATTTTATTTTTTTATTTTTTTCTTATTTTCTGTTTCTTCTTCTTGGCTTTCTCTTTTACTACTTTAGTTGTCAAGTGAGATATATGGTTCTTATTCTTGTTCTTCTGGCTGCCTTGACCATAGATATATTTCACAACTAGAGTTTCTCTGATGGTATCTTTTCATCTTGTTCTTTGACTACTTTATGCTCTATGTCCTTCTCCTCTTTTAATATATGGCTTTATGGTAGGCAGTGCAAGACATTTTCTATAATTGGCAAACTATTGTATTTGCTTTTATTTGTCTTTGCATGTAATTTAGTATCAGTTCTGTAACAACTTTTATCTTATGACTTCATTCCTGATTTTATCTTTTGTGATCATTCCTGCAGCCTTTCTTAGACATCTCAGTTCCATAGTTACCAATTTTTGGTTTAAGTTTGTTGTGAATGACTATGTCTGGCACTGGTATCATGCAATGGGGATGAATATGCTTTGTATGAGATGTCTCTTTGTGCCAGTTAGGACTCCTTTTTTTTTTTAACCACATATAATTTTATTCTGGTTCATATATTGCCGGCTTTTATATATCCTGTGCCTAATATTTTGTTACTTCTTCATCTCCCCCACATCAACTTTCAAATATGATCGATGAAAACAGGTTGGATCCCAGTTTAGGAACTCTGACTGTAAAGAAACACCTGGAATTTGAAAAAATACACTTTTTACCAGGAGAGGTTGGAAACATAACACTCATTGTGGAAGCCAAAGATAATGGATCTATTGCACAGTCCTCTCAAGTCTCTGTTTTTATCAATTTACAGGTTAGTTCATAATAAAATTGTGTGTTTTTTTTACATATTCTTTTCTCAATGTAAGATTGCCGCGTACTTACATTTTCAAATTCAGTTTTCATATCACAGTATAATTATCATATAATTATTAGTTTTGAATTTATATTTTAGCATTTTGTTAAATGTAAATTTATGCATTTTTTTGCATTAAAAACAAATTATACACACATCTATCCTACCACACACATACAAACACACTCACACGTGCACGCACGCAGGCACACTCTCGCTCTCTCTCTCACACACACACACACACACACAGACACACACACAAATACACACACAGATACACACACACACACACAGTCACACACACAGCCATTCTTATCTTATATCAAAGATTTACATGTCTGAATAATTCTCCCCGCCAACCCCCCCAAACCCCCCCCCCCACCCCCCATGTATTTTATATATGCATTTTGTTATTTGCTACAATTTTGTGTGTGTTCTGTAAGTTATTGAGATTATTACAACGATAATTATACTGAGACTGTTTCAGTGAGTTCTCTAACACAAGATAACTTTAAAGTCGTCTCCATGTGGGATGCAATTTTTTGTTAATTGAAGCCCCACTCTGGCCTTTGCCGGAGGCCCTGAATATAGCGGGGGTATAAACATGGCCTAGCAATAGATATGGCGTAATGGCTGAGTGGGGTTTTTTGGACCTCTCCACGGGTGATAATCATCTGCATGGTGGCACTTTGTGTCACCAGCTGTTTATCACTTGAGTGATGTCCTGGTGGGGTACAACTACCTACCTGCCTTCAGTGACCTTTCAGAAGTACTTTTTTTTATTTTATTTTACAAAATACACTGAGGTTGTTAGTATTTGTCTGGCATCTGGCAAAAGTTATCAGTGTCATGCAAAAGGTTTTTTTAAACTGGTTGGCATTTGTTAGAAACTAATCTATATGGATCAGTGGAAGACATGTGTCGCACCACAGAATTCATAGAGGCCTATAGCTTTCTCATCTGAAAAACCACTGGCAGGGAGAAGGAAAAGACAAAAGAAGAAGAAATCTTGTTTTACTGTAAAACATCCATAATGTGAAATGTTCTCCTTTTTTTTAACTAAATTTTTTTTTAAGGTCATATATACCACTTATCATTTTTCAGGATGTTAATAATAAGTACCCTGAGTGTAGCCAGCTTAATTATGCACAAGAAATTTATGAAAACAGTACTAAAAGTAAGTAATAAATCATGTTGTGGACAGTATATTTTAAAAATATTTTTCTCATGTCACTCGCATCCTACTTCACTTGAAAGAATCTCTACCAGCTCCCATGCATCATGGCAACAGTCTGAGAGAGAGTACAGCCAAGACAAGAGACAGAGTGTTAGAGATTCATTGGAGCCAACCTTTATGGTGAAGACAGCACCTGATTGACTTGATTGATTGAAGTCTGAAGTTTGAAAAATGGACCAACATCAGTGCACATGGGTAGTAACCCGTAAGTGCTCCGTTCTTCTTTTAACTCAAGTCTGAGACTGAAGAATCTCAGTACAGTGCACAGACTCTGTATCACCGGCAAGGATCCTGAAATACTTTGGGTAGATTTTTAACTCCAAATTTTTCCTGGGCAGTGCTGTAAGGTTACTCCTTTTGATTTCCAACTGCCAACAGATTTTTTATGTGCGCAACAATGCACACGGGCGTCAAATCTCACTATCCAGAGATTAGGGGAGACATTTCTTAAGTCCAAGTCCATGTGAAAAAATCCCGCCCTTACCAGGGATTGAACATGGACACTCTAGCACTCGAGGCAGACACCATGCCTCGAGACCACGAAGCCCCCCTGGATTGATTGATGCATCATGAATATTTATGTTTTAGGGGTTTTAATGCACTGTGTCAACTGTTCTGCTGGTTAGTGTCTGGTTCTTTTTCTTTTCTTCCTTCTCCTTCTTCCTGGAACCGTGCCTAACAATGCTGTTCATCCTGAACAACTTTGATTGTTGAATGTTGATTTAGGAATCAACATCACAGCGCATGGGACACCCCCATAAGCGCTCTGTTCCCATCTTCAGCAGCAGGCGAAAAGTTAAAATATTGATGGTAACAGTAACTGTCTGATTGTATATCTGTCTCGCCTTACCCCTGAGTGTCGAGCGTCAGCCAGATCCCCTTGTAACTCCTCACAGTGCAATTCTCCTTAGACCGTAATCTATCTGTTCCTCAGCACTGTTCACTCACTCCCAAAGGGCCCTCACAACATCCAGCTTATCATACATCAGTTCACCACCAAGTGGTGCAGAACTGGCCAGTTAAACCACTCTGATATTTCATATGAGCAAAATATTTCATGTTTTTTTCAAGACAGGATCTTGTAAATTAATATGTTTCTTCCTTTTTTTTAATCCCTGGTGTACCAAGAATGTTTAAGTAACATTTGGATTCAAACGCCTCACTTTTTTTTTTCCTATTATTGCCAAATTTTGCTTGATTTTTTTTAATTTGTCTATTTTTTTTTTTTTACTTTTGTGTGTTTGTTTATATTGTTCCATAGACACATATTTGTTTATTTTAATTATTGCTAGAGCATGTCTCCTTCTTTCTTTTAGATGACCATATGACTGTTAATAATGAAGCCATGGTATTCAAATTATATTTTCACTTCATTATCACTTATTGTAATTTTTTGATAAAAATAAGGTTTTATCTGTGGATATTATACTTCTTTGTTTGAATTTAGAATAATGGTAATATCAAAGAAAAGAAAATATGGTATTATATCTGGAAAATATTACGACATTATAGACTCACAGAAAAGTTGGTCAACATAATTGTTCTCTTCTACAAATATTTTTCTTACAGAATTAGGAATTACAGTAAAGACAGGTGTAAGACAGAGATGCATTATGTCATTCTTCTTTTTTAACCTTGTGGTTGATTGGATACTAAAGAACACAGTAGACAAGACATCTAGAGACATATGTGGGACTCTATTCACCATGTTCCAGGACCTTGATTTTGCAGATGATATAGCACTCCTATCACATGAACCTGAACATATACAAGAGAAAAGTAACAGACTACACAGCACAGCAGAAATGGTGGGACTGAAAATAAATACAAGGAAAACTAAGATCATGATTAACAGTCCAAACCAACAGCCAATGACCAATAATAAGCAAACAGTTGAAAATATAGAAAAGTTTATGTATCTTGGCATTGTGATGTCCTTATTAAGAGGAAGAGAGGAAGACATACAACCACACCTGAACAAAGCTAGAGCCACTTTTGGAAGGATGAGACAAATCTGGAAATCCACCATTTACTGACGAACAAAACTGCAACTCTACAAGAGCATCATTTTGCAAGTTCTTTATGGAGCAGAATACTTAAGAATTACCAAATAGGATGCTCACAAGCTATCCACCTTCTGCCACACATGTCAAGGTAAAGTAAAAAAAAATGTTTGGCCAGATACAATCTCAAATATTAAACTACTTCAAGTCACAAATCAAGAAACTCTAGAAAGTATGATAACCAAGAAAAGATGGAAATGGCTTGGCCACATTATGAGAATGAACCCTGATATACCTACCAAAACAGCTCTCACATGGACACCAGATTGAAAGAGAAAGAAGGGCCGCCCAAAAACAACAAAATGACAAAACGATGGAAAGTGAACTGATTGCTGCATCTCTGACATGGAAAATTGCACTGAAGGTTGCGCAGGACAGGAGAGCACGGAAAGTCTTCCATGAAGCCTCATGTGCCACTAGGCATAAAGAGAACTGATGATTGATGCCGATGAATAACATCTGACAGAATATTTATCACAGGATTAAAAAATTTAAATATGACAGATTAAAACTGTGTTTTAAAAATAAAGTACATTTTATGCAATAAATCCATGGTATTAGATGTTACGAAATTAATCTTGCGTGCTATATAAAGCCAGTTTTATGAATGGCTGTGAATCCTAGACATATAATAATTAGGGCTGTACGGAATAGTGATTTTCACTATTTGGCCTGAATACGAATAGCGGGACCAACTATTTGGCCGAAAACGAATACGAATAGTGTATCATCATCATCAGGTGCCTTGCCTAGCCACAATCTGTGATCTCCTGTAGTATGTATTAGTTCGTGAGCTGACACACATCCATGCCATGCAAAAGACTGTCAAGAATCTTCTCTCGTTGTCTTCCTCTATCCCTCCTTCCACAGATCTTTCCAGTGGTCACCACATGTGCCATTTTCCTTCTTCTCATAACATGGCCGAGAAATGATGACTGTCTTTTTATAATGCCTTTGATTAGTTGTCTTCGGGCTCCCGCCTCTTTCAAAACCTCTTGGCTGCTTTTTTTGGCTGTTCAAGGCATTTTAAGCATTGGTCTGTAAAACTACATCTCTGAGGCCTCAAGAAATTGTTTGGCCTGCTAACCGATTGTACAGGACTCACAGTCATATGTTAAAACTGGATGTATGTAGCAAGCAAGAATTCTTTTTCTAACTCTCAATGGCAAAAATATATTGTATAAGATGTTCTTACTTACTTACTTTACTTTTTCCTTCCACGTATGCCGCTAAGCGTTGTGGGGAGATGCAAGTTCCTGTCATAAGCAAGGCGGGCAGCATCTGATGTTCTGAGGCCATGCTTTTGGCAGGTTTCGGAGACCCCGTCAATCCACCGTTTCCTTGGTCTTCCTCTTGCCTTATATCCTGAGCTTCTTTGGTTGAAAATTTGTGATGTTATTTGATCATTTTTCATCCTGGTTAGATGTCCAAACCATTTCATTCTTTGATGTTCTATGTAGTCTAAACATGGCGTAGTTTTGACAGTGTTTCTAATGTCTATATTCTTTATCCTGTCTAGTCTGGTCTTGTTCGCTGCTTTTCTTAGACATTTCATTTCACAGGCTTATAAGATGTTCTTGATTTTATAAAATGCAGTTATTGCCTGTCGCCTGTCCTTTTTTCGACAGTGGCGAGGAAAGACAATTTAAATTTTAACTTTTAAGTATCTTTATGCCTTCTTTAATAATGTCACAATTTATAGCTGACTTTTCTTGATTTTTTCTGCGGCACCCCTGGCATACGCACCCAGTTTGAGAACCTCTGCTGTAATGCCTCTGTCGAATCCGCAGGCAAAGACCTTGCCAGCTGCTGTAGCACGCAACCGGTCGCAGTTTTCCCCACTACGACAGACTTAAGAAAAAGCAACTATTGTGTTAATGAGAGAGTTATTTCAGTCCATCACAGTGTATGCAGAAACGGGTGTAAGGTAACCACTATTCGTATTCGGCCTGAACGCAAGTCCCGTGTAGTAAAGGCGGCCAGCATGATGCTGACCACATCACCCATCTTGTGCGGTCTATAAAATACAGGTCTACCCCTATTTCCCTTCTATGGCTAAAGGCGTGGAAAAGGGTCCTTTACTCACTTTATTACCTAGAAGTATATTAATGATATATGTTAATTACTACTAATACTTTTGGTGTTGTACATTACTTACATTGTTGCCAGCTTATCCAGTCATTCAAGTGAATGCCTCTGATGCTGACGGCACAGCACCCAACAATATGTTCATGTTCAGCATCGATCAGGACAGTGCTGGCAAATTTGTGATCAACAGCTCTACAGGGTTGATATCCTTGAGGGACAGGCTGAACAGAGAGGAGCAGAGTCATCATAACATTATTGTCACTGTAACAGACTTTGGTGTGCCTGCACACTCAAGCTCATGCAATGTATTTGTTGATGTCTTAGACATCAATGATTCACCACCAGTGTTCTATCAGGTCAGTAAATCTCAACTGTATGTGTTGCTTCCCTCCATCTTCTTAGAGTCATCTTTGTATTTAGAACATCTAGTAGTTATTAAAACAATGATATCCTGTTTAACCAATGTGGGTTGTAATTGGGATGTATATAGTGGGGTTTTTTTCTATTACAATATTGGATATTTGTGCACTGGTTTTATTAATATTATTAGTATTTTTTTGTCATTTAATTATGTCTTAAGGTGGCAGGGTTAACAACTCACATATTCATCACACTTTATTAATTCAAAAACAATCATGAGTATAATATAGGTATAAACTTATATTTGTTTTTAACATATATTAAACTAATTTATTATGTTAATTAGCTATCCAGTATGGCCACCATAGTGCGTAAAATAGACACTTTTTCATGACTACGGTATGTACAGAAGAATTTGACTGAAACTTGACAGACTAAATAACTATATCTAGACTGAGGGCCTCACCTAGAATAGGGGACACAAAGTGAAAGGTTTTTATTTTGGAATTTGTTTTTATTAAATTTTTTTGATGTTTGTGTCTAAAAATACACAACGGTCACAAAATGACACATTTTAAGTTAATTGTTTTCATTGTAGTCAAGACTCTGCATTATTATCTGACACATGATTGTTTTAATGTTTAATCTAATTAGATGAAAAAATCCAGAGTTATCTTGTTTGAAAGGTCACTAATCAAGTTAAAAACACAGTATTGAGAAAAGCAGTTTTGTTTGTTATGATCAAAAAACATAACTTTAGAGATGCACACCTTCGGAGATATATGACAAATCTCCCCGTGTTGGTTCTGGAGCCCTACTGCCTCCCCAACAAGCGTATCATGGGAGTTGACTAACTGGAGATATCCTTCAAAGACAGTGTACTTCTGCTTGAGAGGCAAGGGACCACATTTCTGCATACAAATAAGCCAAATCTGTGAACGGATTTGCACACCACACTCAGCTTCTGGCACAAGAATAAAGTCTGGAGGTGAACAAATACCCAGAGCTTTTCCCCGGAGTTAACAGTCGGTGAACGCGAAGAAGAAGAAGAAGAAATGACAAATCATAGAGTGACTTCCCTTTAAGTATATATAAAAAAAAAAAGAACTTTAGAGATGCACACTTTCGAAAATATATGACAGATCATAGAGTGACTTCTCTTTAAGAAATTAATGTATTTCCTTGTCCACATTTTAAAGGTTTATTATAATTTCACAGTTTTGGATTTAAAAAAAAATTAATGATCAGATTTTATTTACATAGTAATGAAATATAAATATTGGTTGCTTTGCAGATTTATCAGGGGAAAGGGGTGGTGGGGGGGGGGGGGGGGGTGTTGTAGTAAAACACTGATTCTTATCAATGCAGAGGATCTATATTCTTCTATTATTGTTATATACAAGGATATTTTCAAGATGATTTAGAGCAAGATTATGAAAATTGTTGAAAATATTTTTTTTTGCGATGTACCTTACCACCTTAACTGTAGCAGGTAGAATTTAAGAGTAAAGATTGTTAAGTTTAGTATATTTTCAGTGTAATGTTTAAAATAATCATAGTAATCATATTATATGATATAATCTTTAGGATTTAAAGTGATCTGGGATACCATTATTCTGTCTAAAGATTTGTCAACATATTGTATGCAAACCTTTGTTCCTGTGATTGCTGTTTAATCTCTCCCTGTAGTTCTCAAAATCTATCTATCTTCAGCAGATTTATGGTTGTCATAAGCATATTTTTTAGAACATAATAACACTTGATAATGTTTAGAACAATACATTGCACAAATTAAACCTGGTATATTTCCTCTATTGTGCCAGGTGCAAAACTACAAAGTTACATCAACATATAAAGAAGCATAAAATATGATTGTTTTCAACCCAAATACACAGATCACATGATCTCTCTTGATCCATTGTTAATCTAATCACCAGAAGATCAAGATGGTCATGTGATCCATTTGTTTTCATTTTCTTACAGAAAACAAGAAACGTTCATGTTGATGAGAATACTCTGGGACTATCGGTTAATATGAGTGCTAATGATCAAGATTTACATTCCAAACTTGTCTACAAAATTATTTGGGAACAATCTACTGCCCTAGATCAAGAAGGCCATGACGCTGATGTTACCATTTTGAAGGTTAAAAAAAACTTCTTTTTTTTTTTTCAAATATATTAGTATGCTAATTGGAGGGAGGGAGACCTAGAAGGGTAGAATGTTAGATGGGCCTGCGTGCCCAATTCTTAACCCTTTAAAAATAAAGTTTGTTCATTCATTCATTCAAGAGCTGGAATTTTAAAAAAAAATGACCTTGGCTCCCAGGTTGACCCAGCCTTGAGTGGGTACCGGGTGCAGTCCCGGAAAGTAGAAGCGGCCGGTGTGATGCTGACCACATCACCCATCTTGTGCCGATTGGTCTATACAAAATGTAGGTCTAGCCCTATGTGCCTATACGCCTTAAGGCGTGGAAAAGGGTCCTTTACTTTTTTACTTTTTTCATTCATTCATTCATTTGTTTAGAGTTAGTTGAGTGACTGTGGTATCCATTTTGGCTCAAACAAATTGGGGTGGTCTAATGATGACTGTCATGATGCTGACCACATCGCCCATCTTGTGCCAGTTGGTCTATAAAATCTAGGTCTAGCCCTAAATGCCCTACACGGTTAAAGGCATGGAAAATGGGTCCTTAACTTCACTTACTTTTTTTTTACTAATGATGACTCGGGTGGTTATGTTTCACTGATCTCGGGTAATTTATTGCAGTGGCAAAATCTGACCAAGCAAAGTCTACAAAGTACATTTGAGTTGCTAGTACTTCATAAGAAGATAAAAGAAAGAAAATAAAGAAAGTAGTAACAGTAGCTGAAAGAAGAAAAATAAGAAGAAGAAGAGAAGCAGCAGAAGAAGAAGCAGAAGAAGAAGAAGAAGAAGAAGCAACAGGAGCAGTAGAAGCAGCAGATGATGAAGAAGAATATGAAGAAGAAGATTAAGAAGAAGAGGAAGAAAAAGATGATGAAGAAGATGAAGAAAAAGAAGAAGAGGAAGAAAAAAGATAAAGAAGATGAAGAAGAAGAAAAAGAAAAAAGAAGTAGAAGAAGGAGGAGGAGATGAGGAGATAAACAACAACAAACAATGAAGAAGAACGAGAAGCACCAGCAGAAAAAAAAATGCAGTTTAAGAGCACCTTTAGCTTTTCTTAGATACATTTGTTTTAAGGTTTATTGTGATTATCCATGTTTCCTCAATCCATCTTTTTTTCATTTCAGCACTTGTTTGCTGATTTTCTGCTCACTTCTTTTCAAAATGTTCCAAACATAGTGCTATCATTTTATCTTATTAACTGTTGATCCTGGTGGTTTTCCAGATCTTTCTTTGATTTCCTTACATATCTTAAATTATCCCAGTTTAATGTTTATCAATTCCCCTAGGCAGATATAAAATGATATAATATTCCAATATGGTATTATTCTTTTGCAGAACTGGATAACAATAGATAATGAAACTGGCTATGTTTTCAATATCGAAAAAATGGACAGAGAGAAAATAGAAAGTTTTTCCTTGGCAGTACAAGTTGAAGATGGAAATTCCCAGACTGGACTTCAAGTTGACAATGGTAATATACTTAAAAACTTGTGTCATTGGTAATGAAGTAATGACATGTTTATTACAAGCCTGTTGTGTCTGACAAATTGTTTTGAAGTGTGTTGAATTTATCAGCATATTTTCAATAGCTGTCATCATGATATAGCAGGTCATTTGCAGAATGTCTCACTCTTCTGATCACAGTCCATGGCAAAGGGACTCAGTCCCATGCTACTTAACTTACCTTGTGTACTGCTCAAGTTGACTTCTTCTTATCAGCATTCACCAGCTGTTAGTTAGTTTGTTAGTTAGTCAACAGATCCTCATTGCACATTGAACGACTCAGTCCATAAATAAGTAAATCCTGCAGCATGTAGCAGCTGAAGAACCAGTTCTGTGTTGATTTATTTTTCTTCTTTGCCTCCCCGTGTAGTGTTCTTGTTTGGCAACACCACGTTTAATATGCTATTCTTGCAGTCTGACCATGGTTGCAGATTCACAGTTCTCAATACGTTCACGCAAACGTCTTAAATGTTCACCGGCTGTAAACGCTGGCAGAAAGTTCTGGCTTTTCATCAGCTTCTGGACTTTAGTCTTGAGTTTTTTGCAGGCACATGCATTTTACAGATCCGGCTTATTTGTTGCAGACTGTTTGTTTCTTGCCTCTCAGACAGATTTACTCCAACTTTGAAGGAAACACCTCTAATTAGTTTCCTCCTGTGATATGCCTTAAGGCAAAAGCAGTGGATCAGTTCTTTGTTCCTAACAAATGGAGTCCTAGAGCCACATTGAGAAAGGTTACTTCAATGTACCAAGTCCACATTCAAGTATTTTCTTCCAGACCCATGCCCTCCTTTTTGTATTTCTTCAACCACTTTTGTATTTAATGGGACCAGATTACTTGTATCTTAAATTCCAACACTTTTTTTAAAACCAGTTCACCTAGGTGTTCAGATCTTGAAGAATTAACATTTTTTACTTCTTCTTGATCCCTGGTTTTTCTAAAGATAGTTTTTTTTTTTTCTGCAGCATTCAGCTTGTACGATTTTATTGTTTAGAAATAGCAAAATGGCTTATGACTCGCACTTGCATGTTACTATGGTAAAGATTAAGATTTTCAAAATGTTTTATTTGTTTTCATTAAAATATTTTACAGTCTACTTCACATAAATGATTAACAATCATATTTTTGAGACAATTTCATAAAAATACATTAAACACATAATTTCTATAGACTCGAGTATTGCAATAGAACAAGATTTTGTGCCACAACCAAAGACTCAAGTATTGCAATTGAACAAGATTTTGTGCCATTTTGGCTGTCCAGAAACCAGTTTCATCCATACTGATTACATCAGACAAAGCATACTTTCTCTCACTCAGTCTGATTCATGCAACCAGTTGTCTGGTCCTTCTTCCATCTACATTTGTCCTTACTAAAAATCACTACTGATAACACTGAGCGTCTTTTCTTGTTTTTCTTTTTTAAATTTGGTACAGTTAACCTGCAGAATAACTAAAATCTTGACTATCTAAATATTCTGGCTCCCATCTGCTTTTGACATTCTGCTTTTAGTCCACTTAAGGGTGGATTGGAAGCTTTGAACCGTTCTAAATGTATTACTTTGATATCTTTATACTGAGCACTATGAAGTCGCTTAGATTTGTTCTCAGAACCTGATACAGCAGCATTAAGAATTTTTCATGATTTTTATGGTAAATCTATACTGTTGAGCAATTGTCACTTTCTTTAATGCACCATGGTCTACCTCCTCTGTGATTTTCAGTTTTGTTAGCAGATCTATGCCTGTCTGCTGACTCTTGCATAACTCCCATCTTAATACTGGCAGGTTTTATCTTGATGTTACTTGTACTGAATATGTTTAAAAAAATAGAAAAAACAATCAAATATTTTTAATTACATTGCTGTAATTCGAACACATTTTTAAATTGAATCTATTCGTGAAAATATACGCTGATTATTGACATGATACTCATGATTTCAAGCAATAGTATCAAATAATATTGTTGCTAAAAACAATAACTCCTAGTTCTAACACTAATATGAATTAAACAATAGTTAACTTTTAGCTTAATTTTTTTCATCTGGGTGCAAGTCGCAGAAAACTTGTTCAACTGTTAGGTTATAATAGGGCTAGGTTACACTATACTCATTCGATTAAATGAGATCTAGTGGCACAACAGACTAAAAAAAAAAAAAAAGGGGGAACAGGTCATAATTTGTGGTAACAGAAAATCTCTTCAATTTATAAAATTTTCTACAACAAATCATACATCCCTGCAGCGACCAAAAGTTGATTCATGTTAACCAAGTGTTTTTCTCTTTTTCCCTTAGACAAGTTCATGTTAACAAGGGTTTTTGATATTCTACCATTAGTATTCTACCATTAGTATTCTACCATTAGTATTCTACCATTAGTATTCTACCATTAGTATTCTACCATTAGTATTCTACCATTAGTATTCTACCATTAGTATTCTACCATTAATTTCACGCAGTATGCACATTGTTTGTTTGGATAACCAAATTCTTTCTATAATCTTATCAGGTACAGTAACTGTGCAAGTCTTAGACAAGAATGACAAGAAACCTGAGTTTTTACAGAAGTTTTATGAAGGACAAATCCAAGAAAACATGCCAGATGGCAGTGAAGTTCATCTCTTTAATCTCCTAAGTGTAACTGATGAAGATGAGGTATTGAAATAATGTAAAATTTGTCATTACATTTTATGTCACAGAATTTAATATTCAAATGCAGTTTGTCCATAAAAATAGTTAGTTGCATATCCTTTACAGAATGTCAGCAACCAACTCCAGCATTTGTTGGTGTGGTTTTACTTAGATATTTTACATTCAAAAGTTTGTAATTGCTCCTGATGGTTGGCGCTCATGCTGTTGTCAAATCAAATTCCTGCAAAGCAGGTTTTTTTTAATGAATCAAGAATTGACATCACTGAACTTGAGACATTTCCATATGTGCTTTGTCCCCTTCCAAGGAAACAAAACAAAATTCCCACACTGATCGCGCCTGTTTCCCACTACCTCTCCCTAACCCCACCACCACATTGGGTAGAATATCACCCAGACCTTCTCTTTACGCCCAGCTGAATCGATCTTTCCAAATATATATGCTCTGTCTGTTCGGTGCTACACTGTGTTCACTTGATACCACAGAACCTTCACCACATCCACTTTATCATAAGGCAGCTCAGTGCCCAAAAAAGCAGCAGCAACCAGTTTATTAGCCTCATCTTACCACATGCGCCCAAAGTCCTGTGCGCAGAAATCTATCATATGCTTCTGATGTGTGTCTTACCTGGCACTGTAAGCCTCTCTTAACGCAAGAAACCAATTTCCATTTTCCAAAGAATACTCTGCAAGTCAGTTACTATTGCAACATGTCAGGTATACTACACTACAGCTATCAGAAAAGCTACTTTCCCGTGTGGGTTCCAGGGCCACATTGTGGGGAAAACAAGGATAGACCAACTGCTTTGAAGTCAGAAAACATCTGCCTGAGAAGCAAGAACCAACAGTCTGCATGCAAATAACTCAGACCTGTGAAACGGATGTACACGCAACACTCCGTTTCTGAAACAGGACTAGAGTCCAGAAGTAGATGAACAATCAGAACTTTTCTGCCAGAGTTTACAGCAGATGAATGCAAAGAAGAAGAAGAAAAGCTACTGCTACAGCTTCTGTTTCCATTCTTATGTATAATGTGTGACATTAAATGCAAGGCATTTTTTTTTCTCGAAAAACTTCCATTCTCCTTAGCAATTGAACCAAATCAACTCTTTCTGAATGTTAAATATTGAATTAAGAATCAACATCACAGTACTCGGGACACCCCCATAAGCGCTCCATCCCCAGTAGCAAAACGAAGAGTTAAAATTCAGATGGTACCAGTAACTGTCTGATTGTATATCCATCTCGCCTTTTCCCTGAGTGTCGAGCATCGGCCAGATCCCCTTGTAATTTCTTGCAGTTCCATTCTCCTCAGACGGTAAAAATCTATCTCTTCCTCGGCACTGTTCACTCGCTCCCGAACGGCCCTCACAACATCCAGCTTATCATACATCAGTTCACCACCTAGTGGGGGAGAAACGGCCAATCTATCTGCCTGCTCATTTCTGAACACACTGGCATGACCTGGATCAACTCTTTTTACCACTCACTATAGACCCATCTGTGTATACAATAATATCACTAGCAGGCTATTAATTTTTTTTTTTTATTAAATTCAGAAGCTTTGTTTATCTTTTTGAAGGGTGAAAATAGTGAGTTCAGCTTAAGCATAATATCACCTGGCAATGTATTTTCTGTGGAACCTGCTGATGGAAAAGGGAGAAGTCAGTTTTCTCTTACTGTGCAAAATACTTCTGTATTGGACTTTGAAGAGCATCAGTATTTGATATTTGAGGTGAGTAATTTTCTTTCAGGAAAAAACAAAAGCAGTCTGCTCAGTATTTTATTATACGACGCCATTTCTAGTTTAACAGTAAAGATAACAGTTTTTAAAAAAGTTAATAACAAGTGAACAACATGAGTGCTATGTGATAAATCATATAATGGATATGATGATAGGTCCATATATTTAGACCAATTGGTACTAGAGGGTTTATTTGTTCTGTTTTGCACTGACTGCCTTTAGTATCACAAAAGTTTTCTAAAATTCATTAGTATAGGCCGAAGGTTGTGGGTTCCAATCCTGATGGAGCTGGATTTTTTCAAAAATGACCATAGTTCCCAAGTTGACCCAGCTTTGAGTCGGTACCAGATAAAGTTCTGGAAAGTAATGCCCCTTGGCATGATGCAGACTACATCACCCGCCAAGTGCCAACTTCTCTATAAAATGTAGGTCTAGCCCTATATACCCAGTGAGCCTAAAGGCATATAAAAGGGTCCTTTACGGTTTTATTGTTTGGTTATCTTTTTTTATTATTAACTTTATTATAGATTTTGCCTCTACTGATTGAAAACGTAGACTAAAGAATAATCAGTCTACAAAGTAAGAATCTGTATAGATTATTAACTCAAACCACATCTAGTCATGAAATTAAATCAAGAGCAGGTGAATGGGTGCCTGCCACTCTGTGTGTGTGTGTGTGTGTGTGTGTTAATGAATGAGTTTGTGGGATTAGAACTCTTTTCATGCATATTGAGTCTTGTGTTTTTCTATTAATTGGCACTCATAATTTGTATGTTTCATTTCTGTGATGTATGTTTAAATGTGGGTTTAAATGTTGCATTTGTGTGCACATATTTGCAGACTGTGTGAGTATTTGGGTAGGTGATGCTTGCATTCATGCATGTGTTTGTTTGTGTACAGGTTCTGTGCAGGATATTGTTCCTCTAGAAAAATAGCTTGGTATACAAAACATTTTACATACTTATTCTAGCTTTATCTCTGCCCCAAGCTGTTATAACTTCAGAGCCATAGATATCTGAGTGAGGGGTTTAATAATGTAACAATTATCCCTGACAGAAATTGGGTTAGCAGCAACTGTGTTAGAAGATGAGTTAGTAAGTTAGTTAGTTAGTTAGTTAGTTAGTTAGTTAGTTAGCTAGCTAGCTAGTTAGTTAGCTAGTTAGTTAGTTAGTTAGTTAGTTAGTTAGTTAGTTAGTTAGTTAGTTAGTTAGTTAGTTAGTTAGTTAGTTAGTTAGTTAGTTAGTTAGTTAGTTAGTTAGTTAGTTAGTTAGTTAGTTAGTTGGGTTATCATCACTGCACTCCTGACATGTCCATAGGTGCTCAGAGTCTCCCCTCAGTATGAACTCACTAAAATAGAGCTAGTTCCTAAAACAGCTGTCTGGTACTGAAAAGGTTGTGATGTTTTTAGCTTCGAAACAGTTATTGAGCATTCAAACATGACAACACAAAGGTTGGTACTCAGGAACAATACCCTGAATTTATGTAGGTAAATAACTGCTTGAAATATCCGATTTGCTCATTCACCTAAGAGATGTTTAATTCATACTTTTCCAAAATGTTTTTTTTTTAAATCCATAAACCAGATTGTAGCAACTGAAACAAAAACGGTAGAAAAATTTAACAGCTCAGCAACAGTTAATATCACCATCCTCAATGTAAATGACAACATGCCTGAATTTGAAAATGCAACTTTTGGTGCCAGTGTGTTTGAGAATGTATCAGTTGGAACTTCTGTTACAACAATTAAGGTAATTTAGTGTTTTTCTCATTGTTAACAATGATTTTTTTGTAACTAACCTTGGCTCTCAGATAAACCCAATCTGAAGTAGGTACTAGGAAATGCCTTGGGAAGTAAAAAGATTTGCCAAATGTTGATCATGCCACCCAACACAAGGCAGTCTGCTGTCTAATTTCAATTTTTTTTTGCCATTGCTTCCTCAATGGTGGGTTCAAGAAAACACTGTTGAAACCAACACACGGCAGTCTGCTGCCTAATTTACATTTTATTTGCTATTGCCTCCTCAATGGTGGGTTCTAGAAAACATTGCTGAAACTAACACAAGGCAGTCTGCTGCCTAATTTATATTTTATTAACTATTGCCTCCTCAGTAGTGAGTTCTAGAAAACATTGTTGAAACTAACACAAGGCAGACTGCTGCCTAATTACCTGCAGCTTGGATCAAACCTGGCACCCTGTGTATAGTACTAGCCCTATATTTGTAGACTGACCAGAACTAAATGAATAATGTAGCCAATATCAAGCCAGATTCCTTTTTTTCCCATAACATTTCTTACTTCCTAATTAGGCTGGCTAAACTTAGGAGCATGCAAATAAACTTTTGAAGGGATGTGAATTCATGATTTCCTACCTGGCAACAGGCAAGAGTGATTTGCAAATACTACACTGATAAATGGGGTTTATGGTCAGGTCTTGGTCAGATATGACTGAGCTACCATAAACAGTATCCGGTACGACCTGTCTTTTGTTATGCCAAATATTGGGAGGCGTATACCAAATGTGACATCCCATATTGTGCCAACGACTTCGGGTGGGGAGCACATTGGGGGAGATACTAGCCTTATCCTAAGAAGAGGAAATGCAACCTGAAAAACTTTGTTATGGCAGGGCAGACCCGGCTCTTAGCCTTGGCTGGCAGCTTGTCTACCAGGAGGGCTCCAACAGGTAGACAGACAGAGCACTGCTCTTCTGATCCAGCAGCTTCTGCAGCCTGCTTTGTTCCAAAAGTACTGGTGTTCTTTTCGTTGAAGTAAACAAGGCAGGTCAAGAAAGGGATCATGATGCATGGGCTACATATGATCTCTATAGTACTGCCTAGGCTTTATGCTATGGAGAGAACAAACTTCACCATTTTACCAATCTGGCTTCCATAGTGATTAACAAACTATCACTGGATCAAGAAATCAACATCAGGATAGGTAAGGCAGCAACAACAATGAGCAAGATTAACAAAAAGAGTTTGGGAGAACAGAAAGCTCATGATTTAAAAAAAAAAACTCATGTCTATCAGGCCATGTGTTCTCAGCACTCTGCTTTTGACAGTGAATTTTGGTCAACTTATTTGCACCAGGAGAGACGGCTAAACAGGTATCACAGCTGGGTCACACCTGGAGAATGGAGGATGGGAGGCCCTCCTTTGTAGTCAATTATAGATGGGTAAAAGATGTCGAAGCCAGCTTCTACTATGATATAAAGACGTGTGCAAGCAGGACCTGAATGATACAGGTATTGAGGTAGACACATGGAACAAAATGCCAAGGACTGTATTGTGTGGAAGGGAATGAGAATTAAGGAAGAAATGATTGCAGAAAGGATGAGAGCTGAGCATCTTAGAAGAAACAGACTAAACACAAATGTTGACAACAATGGTCCTGAAATCCCATACTATTATTGTAGAAGACATTTTTTTACATGGCCAGGTCTTGCTAGGCACACTCGCCATCACCATGAGCTGAGTCTCATGCCCTGTCCTAGCGCAATATAACACTATCATCTGGAAAGAGAGAAAGGTGCCAATCAATCAGTTGGGGTAAGACATCCAATTACCTATATTTCTGACCCAACTGAATAAAATTCTTATAATTTAAAGCCATCATCATGTAGCAGATCTTTTGCAGAACGTCGCACTCATCATGGTCTGCATGAAAGAAACCCGGTCTCTCACCAGCTCTCCCGCCTCAAGTACTTTCATACTCAAGGAGTCACTTATTTCCTGTGCCCATCTTCGTGCTGGTCGGCCCCTGTCCCTCCTTCCTGGTACCATGCCTTCTGCTATTATTTTTTCCAATTCGTCTAAACTATTTCAGCTTCCGAGACAGGAAGCCATGCGTTGTATAATTATCTGTTTTAACTTTTTTCTTTCTTGTGATTAGGCAACAGATGCTGATAAGTATCCATATGGAGTTGTTACTTACACATTTCCCAACAATCCACAAGAGTAAGTTGGTATTGCTTTATGTTTACTATTTTTTTTTAACCATTGTTTCATTCTGTATAAATCATACTATACATTTTTCCTGTTTTTATTTTTATGTAATTTAGATTTTTTTAAACTCTTTCTTTCTACAGCAAGTGTTGCTGTAACTTAATAACTTAGTATTCATCATGTACAGCAGGGCTATTCAACTGGTGGCCCGCGGGCCAAATCTGGCCCACCAAGGCCTAGCAAGTGGCCCGCGGAAAACTTCTAGCTGTTTTGTATTTTCGATCTCTCTATGCTGGGGCTAAGACCTCTGGCCCGTGACGATCCCCGTTTTTGAACATTTTGGTCCCTGAACCAACTTAGTTAAATAGCCCTGAACTACAATATTAGTCTTCGACCACAAACGTTAAAATAGCACTAAAGGACAGTGGTGTTTGAGTAAAATTATTGGAAATAGTATTATAATTAAAACAGCTGAATGGAAAATAAAGTGCTCAGAAAGGTTTAGCATAAAGACAAAATCCTTTTGTGTATTTATTAATGTTGTTAGCTACTTTAGTTTAATGTTGCTTTAATCAAATCCATAAATAATTTTTATTGAAGCAAAATTGTTTTTAAAATTGCTCTTAAGGCTGCTAACTGAACTGGAGATTACAAAAATCTCAGTCTAGATTGTAAACCAACAAGGCAAATCCCAGGTACATTGTTCAACACCCAAAGAAGTTATAATTGGGGTATTTGCAATGACTACACTAGCCTTATGTAGCCTGTGCTCTTAAGTTGGAAAATACTTAACGTTCAGAGACTTTTAAAACAAATATTGCCCTGATGTGACCTTGCAAATTCAAATTATTCTTAAACTATTATTTAGCACAGGGGTGAGAGAGGGGGAGAGATGGCCAGCTCACGGGTCATATAATAAGTAAGTAAAGTAAAGGACCCTTTTCTACACCTTTAGGCATATAGGGCTAGACCTATATTTTTATAGACAATCGGCACAAGTTGGGGGATGTGGTCAGCATCATGCCAGCCGCCTTCACTTTCCAGGACTGAACCTGGTACCCACTCAAGGCTGGGTCTACCTGGAAGTCAAGGTAATTTTTGAAAAAATTCCAGCTCCGCCTTCCGATCCTCAGGCGAGCGTCTAGCCACTAATCCATGAGGACTCTTTCACAGGTTTTATGGGACCCCAAAAAAATCAAATGATCTTGCTCTGCTAAGATAATTGCATTTACGTGTTTGATTCAGGGAAGCAGATACTAACTGGGCATGGCCTGCAAATGGTGTTGTGAGTATGCAAGTGAATTGTTCCCAAGAAACAGATTACTAATCACTGATTAAAGAATCGATATCATAGCACACCGGGCATACCCATAGATGCTCCGTCTCTCGCAGCAAATGTCTTATCCGTCTTTTTTCTTTTTTTTTATACAATGAGTAACGTGCTAAAGATAGATAGGTCTAGAGAACTCTAGGGACTTTTTAAACATCACCTCACAAGGTCCTGTAATGACATTGATGCCTGGATGTATTTAGATACAGATATATTAGAGAGAGTTGCAGCAGGTATATATGTCTGAAATAACTGGTGCTCTTAGAGCACAATCTGATCCAACAAACTGAGGGCATGAGGCAGAAGTATAAAATGCAGGCACTTGCTACTGGACCTTCCTTATATTACAGATGTGGAAATTGTGACTAATAATGTCACTTTTGCATCAGACTATTTAATCCCAGTGGTGCTGCTAGATACCTGCCTGCCAGCACAGCTCTACAGTCTTAAGGGATTGAAAGAGGCTTACTGCTACTGCATCACAAAAGCAGAAATTGTTATATTAAGATTTGCAAGGCAAAATAATAATATTGTACATTGACAAGGACAGTGCTTTCTGTGTTTTTTACCATACACCAAACAGGCAACTGCTCAGAATGGCTGAAGCATTAACAATAAAAATCAAAAACCCACCCCTTTGTAAGCTGATGCAATTTAAAGTAAATTTGAAGTTAACCTAGTAAGTCACATGACTACAATGGACTTCCAGGGACTAGATAAACACGATGCATAGAAGAAACCATTCGCACTTCAGTTGGATTTATTCACTTTTTTATGCTTTATCTTATGTTGATGTAACTCTGTAGTAATGCACTTGATGAGGTACAGAGAAATATGTCTGGCAATAAATTATGCATTGTATTGTTTGTGTCCGCATTTTTAAAAATAATAATAATCCAAAACACTTTAAATTTATCCGTTTTTCGATAATAAAATTAAAAATTTTATTATTATACTAATTTGAAAATTACATTTTTCATCCAAAATCTTGACACTTATAACTTTTAATCCTATAATGTTATAATGTTAGAGAAGTAAAAACTGTATCCACAAGGGAGATAAATGGTCATAGACCACGAAGTACACCAAGAAGACGATGGAGAGATAATCTCCAGGCAGACCTACTTGATGTCACCAACTAGGAAGAGAAGGCCAACTAGAGAGATGAGTGGAGGCCGATGATATCTGCAGCAATAAACCTCAGGGTCTCAGACTGCTGGAGAAGAAGAAGGAGAAGAATGTTATAATTAACACTTATAATTTACCCAATATTAAATAGTCAAAGATAAAAAGCAAACAAATGTCCAGTGTCTGAAAAGAAAAAAACCCTGTTAATCCAATAATTATCCTACTATAGGGTACTCCTTACGTCCTTCTTAGGACGTAATTTTTTGTTATTTGAAGCCCCACTCTGGCTTTTGCCAGGGGCCGCAATATAGGCAGGCCATCAATATGGCCAATTGTCTGAACGCGG